AAATAGAAAAATGTGATTATATCAAGCTAAAAAGCTTCTGTACAGCAAGGGAAACAACAGAGTAAATTGACAACTTCTGTCATGGGAGAAAATATTTGCAAACTATTTATCCATAAGGGATGAGTATCCTGATACATAAAAAACTCAAATAACAAAAAATCCTATCATAAGTGGGTAATTAAACTAAATAGACATTACTCAAAAGAAGCTATACAAATGACCAACAACTACACAAAAAAAGTTGCTCAACATCACCAATCATTGGGGAAATGCAAATCAAAATCAAAATGAGATATCATCTCACCCCAATTAGAATAACTATTATCAAAAAGACAAAAGAAAACAAATTCAGGCAAGAATGTGAAAAAAAGGGAACGCATACACTGTTGGTGGGAATGTAAAATGCAAACTAGTACAACCATTGTGGAAAACATTATGGAGATTCCTCAAAAAACTGCAAGTAGAACTACCACATGATCCAGCATCTCACTACTGGGCATTTATTTAGCCAAAGGAAATCAGTATACCAAAAAGACATCTGCACCCCAATATTTATTGTAGCACTATTCATGACAACCAACATTCAGAGTTAACCTAGGTGTCCATCAATTCATGAATGGATAAAGAACATGTGGTATATAAACACAATGGGATACTTTTTAACTATAAAAAAGAATAAAATTCTGTCATTTGCAGCAACGCAGATAGACTGAGGGACTGATGTTAAGTGAAATAAACCAGGAACAGAAAGATAAATACCACATATTCTCACTCATATGTGGAAAGCTAGAAAAGTTGATGTCATAGAAGTAATGATAGGATAGTGGTTACTAAAGGGGAGGGGACAGGGCGTAGGGAAAGATTTGTTAAAAAGATACACGATTACAGCTAGATAGGAGGAATAAGTTCTAGTGGTCCACAGCAGTGGTCTCCAACTTTTTTGGCATCAGGAACCAGTTTCATGGAAAACAACTTTTCCACAGACTGAACAGGATGAGGGGATGGTTTGGGGATGATTCAAACCATGATTCAAATGCACATTACATTATTGTGCACTTTATTTCTATTATTATATTGTAATGTATAGTGAAATATACATTATTATAAAATCATTATTTTGATATGAGTTTGTGAGCAGTTAATTTATTATGATCTCTGTACAGTTAAACCTCATTGTTAATGTTAATCTATATTTGCAGTTGCTCCCCAGCACTAGCCTCACCATCTCAGCTCCACCTGAGATCACCAGGCATTAGATTCTCATAAGGAACACACAACCTAGATCCCTCACATGCACAGTTCACAATAGAGTTTGCGGTCCTGTGAGAATCTAATGCCACTGCTTACCTGACAGGAGGACTTTACGCAGTTACCCGCTGCTTATCTCCAGCTATGTGGTCCAGTTTCTAACAGGCCACGGACTGGTACTAGTACATGGCCCAGGGGTCAGGGACTCCTGCTCTATAGCATTGCAGGGCACCTATAGTTAACAATGATTTATTACATATTTTAAATAGCTAAAAAGAGTTTTGAATGTTCTAAACACAAACAAATAATAAATGTTTGAAGTGATTGATATGCTAATTACCCAGATTTGATCACTATGTATGCATCAAGACATTACTATATACCCTATAATATGTATAATTATGTGTCAATAAAACTTTTTAAACAATATATTTAAAAGATTTATCTATATAAAACATGTGTCAGTACCTCATTCCATTTCATGATTTTAAAAAATGATCCATCATAAAGTTATTCTACATTGTGTTTATCCATTGATGGACATCTGGTTTGTTTCTACTTTGGCTACCCTGAAATAATGCTGCTATAAGCACTCATGTATAAGTTTTTGCACTTATATATATTTTCAGTTCTCTTGTGCATATACCTAGGGAAAGGATTACAGGGCCATATGGTAATTTTGTTTAATTGTTGCACACCGCCTAACTATTTTTTAAAGTAATTGCACCATTTTACATTCACATGCTATGTATAATTGAAAATAAATTTCCCACATCTTTGCCAGCACAGTTTTTGGCCATCTTTTGGATTAAGGCTATCATAGTGGGTATGAAGTATCTCATTGTGGTTTTGATTTGTATTCATTTAATAACTAATAATGCTGAGCATCTTTTTATGTGTGTTTTAGTCATTTTCACATCTTTTTCAAAGAAATGTCTATTCAAGCCCAGGAGGCTGAGGCTGTGGTGAGCCAGGATTGTACCACTGCACTCCAGCCTAGGCAACAGAGTGAGACCCTATCTCAAAAATGAATGTACAAAATTTCAAGATTGAGAAACTTAAGAAAAATTAATAAAATATCTATTCATATATTTAGATTCTTTGCTCTTTTTTCAGTTGAATAATTTTTTATTATCTAGTTCTAAGTTCTTGATAGATTCTGGATGTAAGTTTTCTTTAGATATATGATTTGCAAATATTTTCTCCCATTATGTGAGTTGCCTTTTAATTTTTTTGATGGTGTCCTTTGAAGCACAAAGTTTTTAATTCTGATAAGTTCAATACATTTATTTCTTATTTTGTTGCATGTACTTTTGATATAATATCTAAGAAGATATCTAAGAAGATTTTGCCTAATCTGAGATCACAAAGGTTTAGTTTGTTTTTTTTTTTCCTAAGAGTTACATAGTTTTAACTCTTATATTTAGGTCCATTATCTATGTCAATTAATTTTTCATATCATGTGGGAAAGGGGTCCATTTGTATTAACTTGCAATATATGTACTTCCCCCAGTGAGTTGTCTTGATAGCCCTGTTGAAAAAACGTTTGACCATAGATGTATGGAATTATTTTTGTACTCTTAATTCTATACCATTGATCTATATGTCTTTACCCATGCCACATTGTCTTGATTACTCTAGCTCTGAAGTAAGCTTTATAACAGGAAGTGTGACTCCTTCAAATTTGTCTTTCTCTCTCAATATTGTTTTGGCTATTCTAAGTCTCTTGAATTTTAGAATCAGCTTGCCAAGTTTTACAAAAAAGTAGTCGAGATTTTGATAGTGATTGTTTGAATCTATAGATCAATTTGGGAAGTACTACCATCCTAATAATATAAACTCTTCCAATATGTTAGTATGGAATATCTACTGAGATCTAATTTAGTATCTCTCAATAGTTGTTTACATTTTTCAGTATACAAGTCTTAGATTTCTTTTGTTAAATAAATTCCTTTGGATTTTCTTCATTTAGGCACTATTACAAATGGAATAGTTTTGTTAATTTTATTTTTGGATTGTTTGTTGTTATTGTATAGAAATATATTTGATATTTGTCTGTTGACCTTGGATCCTGCAAGCAATCATTCTCGGACTTAGTACGCAACTTTTTTAATGAAATTAAGAGACACTTTCTATATTGGCAAATTGGGAAGATTAATATGTATTATTTCTTCTTATTGGACAGGCCAGACCTGTGTTGGTCACTATTAATTACCACAACTACCCTGAGAAAGCAATTATTATCTCCTTTCTCAAGTGAAGAAACATGAAAACTGTGTGTATTTTTACATTAACACAATTATATTGGTAAAGAATGTACAAGTATTGGTATTAGCCATTAATTTATTTTCAGTGTCCTAACATTATTTAACAACTTTTAAATTATCCTTGCTCCTTTTTGAAAGAAAATATTATGTCAGTTAGAACAAGTGCCTGAAAAATTATTAAATTTTCTGCTTTAAATCCAAATGCCTGGTAGCAAATCACAAAAGTCTCACATGCTGAACCACTTCTTGATGTTCTTGCCAGTGGATGAATCTATTTGTCTTTTCTCAGATCTGTGTGGTAGTTATGAAACGTAATGTTGCGACTTCTGGTAAGGGCAGTGTCTTTTAGATACATTTTGCCTTGTGGATTCACACTATAGAGGTACAAGGGAAACAGACATAAGTGCAAGATTGCATTCTTGAGGATGTTTATAACCCCCTTTAGTCCCACCACCTCACCATAAGAACAGATTGATGTACTTATGGGTCATGAGAGGGAGGGAGGAATGCTATTCCTTCTGACACATGAAATTTTCCAATGATATTCTGTAGACCTGTGTTATGTATTCTATGGAAGACAAGATTATTTGATTAAATGTATTTGGAGATTGATGGTTTATATTTTTAAACACTCTAACAAGTCCTATAGAAAACAATGTTTATAATCTATGTCAGCCAGCATTACTAAACTTTTTCGACAAAAAAGATAATTTTTTCACAAAATACACATTGATATCTCTAAGAATTTGGAAAAACAGTAGCATCTTGGAGAAGTTTTTTTATCTACCACAAAACAACTTCTAAAATACTTGATTTATGCTGTTAATTAATCTCTAAGAACCAGAATTTCCTCATTTTTAAAACAGGTAAAATAATTGTGTTTATATCATATGGTTATAATAAATATTAAATAAATTATTATTTGTAAAGCACTTAACTAAATTAATATTCATAAAGCACTTGGTATTGCTTGGCTTATAGTAAATAGTATGCAAGCATATGTTAAATAAAATATATTTTATTTTAAATAAAATATTTAAATAGTTAAAATATTATAAATACAGTTATGACTTAAAATAAATACTATCACAATTCCATTAAAATTTTGCTACTACTATTTTGATATTAGTTCATTATCAAATTCCACGCAGAAAGGAGTGAGCCCAGAATAGCATTTATTATCTAATAATTGATTTTATAATCTGGTTCCAAAGTTCACACTGACTTTGTAGGTCATGAAAAAACCTACAAACCCATATTTTATTTTATGTTGAAATATGAGAACCTAATAGAGCCAGTGGGGCTGAGCTTGCCAGCCCTCTTTGGATACCACGCCGTGGATTAGAAAAAATAAAAAGTACTTTTCTTCTAGTCATTTGTCATGAGTCAAAAATGTCTAGAAAAGAAATTTCTTTCACATAGGTAAGGTAAATTTCAAAGATTGCTCTATATCTATTGAATTCTTGAAAATTACTTTGTTTCTAGGTTTCATTTTCTGGCAGGAGAGCCCAGAGGAGAAGTCCTTGATAACTCTTTCGCTGGGGGAATATGTAAAACTGTCAAAAGCAGTAGGGCAAGTAATCCATACCGTGTTCCGGCCAATCTGGAAAGTGTCAACTTTGAGGTATGAAGGACAACCCAAGGACTATGGTGATTATAAGCTACACTTCTCATTAAAAAAAAATTTGTGATGAATGAAGGGACAGAATGAGAAGGTGGTGAGTAATTTTATTCACCTAGTATATGTTTGCATTTCATCCATCCGAGATCCAGTGAGGTCAGTGTTATCATCAATTTACAGATTAAAAAAACTAAGGTAACTAATTTGTCTGGAGTCAAACACCTAGTAAGAAGTGAATTGCAGATACAAGCCCACGTGTCCCTGATTGGAGTTCATGACTTCTCCAAAGAATGTTCAGCTCTAATCTACCTTCACACAAATTTGTTTGATTTATGGTTTGATTTGTTCAAATTTTTCTTTTATTATAAGTAGTTCTCTAGATAATGAAATTTAGCGTTTTTAAAAATGGTGGGTTCATGAGAAAAGTCATGAGTTCAAGTATAGTGAGATAATATCTTCCTTTATATTTTATTAGCTGGTTTGTTTGTTTGTTTTCCTAGGTGGTAATTAGCAACATACTAACTAGTCCCAGAATCTATGTCAGTGCCTTACACATGATAGGTACTCCATACTTGCACTAAAATGAACTACTTATTTCCTTTAATTTGTGGTAATAGAAACACACGTACATGGTTTTAGCGATGATATCTTTGCATGCAAATTTAACATGCTGGAAAGAATTTCAAAAGGTTTAATGATTTCTAAGAGCCACTTTATGAATAGTATGAGTTCAGCAAGAAATCATTTAACACTTCCTTTAAAAAGGCCTTCATATGCAGGTAGACATTTTCTAATTTGATACACTCAATTTAAAATCATCTAATATATACTAATGGGTAGGGAATGTCTTTGGGGGTCCAACTGCCAAATTCAAACACCTCTTGAAAGACATATAATACTATTCTTAAGATATAGTGTATTGACTGAACAGACTTTGCAGACAGAGCTAAAATCTAAACATTTACGTGTAATATTGTTCTATTGGGGGTTGCTTTCTAAACAACCAATCCATAAACTTACTTGCAAAATACAATGATTTCCCAAAAGCATATTGCCTCATATTGCCTCTCAGCAAGCACCTACTTCATGCAGTTTTGCAAGTTACAAACTAAACAAAGTACATAAGATTAGGGCAAATTTGGGCATATTTGTATGATATTTTAAAGCACTTTCATATGTTGCTGTCATGGAGTCCCATAACAACCTCCCAAGAAAGGTAGAAAATTGTTTACATCCATCTTACTAAGAGTTAGATGTGCTGAAATTAGAGTTATACAGGAAGTAAATGGCACAGAAGAATTAGAACTCTAACTCCTGTCTCCTATAGTCCAGGGCTGCTTATGTTAGATGAGATGTTGGTAGTAACATCAATCAAAACATCAATCAAAACCTGTGCAATGAGTGGGACGTCTGAGCACCTTTCGTAAATTCTCAGTTAAAAGGTATCCCCTATGAAGTTAGACAGTGACATGCTAGAGCCAGTTCTTACAGCTCATAGGAACCAATTGTTAAATTTTCAGGAATTTTGCAATCTGATTGTTAAACATAGCCATTATTAAATATTAAAGATATAATCTGACAAGTAAATAAATTCAAAACAAGGGTTACAATTACTTACAGTTTGTCACTTCTCAGTTACTTTGCTACGCTTTACCATTATCTGGGCTCTTGGGATAATTTACATCTACAGCATCTGAATCAGGAAAATGCTTGATAATTTGCTCTTATGCATGTTTTCTCAAGTTTGAATTCAGGGCATCACATAGGTAGCCTGAAATCATCCATTGTAGAAATATATTCACCATGAAAAAAGGAAAATGCTAAAGTAAATTAGAGCTTTTTTTCCCCTCCCAGAGAGCTGGTTGTTAGAAATTTACTACCAGACCTCTGAGTTCACCCACAAATCCTGGGTGACAAAGCTACTTGAGGAAATGCAACCTGAAAATCTTTATTCAGCATAAAGTAGACTCATTTCATTATCAATATAGCTCTAAAATTTGTCCAGCCCTAAGAAGCTACCTGAGCTAATATTTATCTGTCATTGAGTTTTAGATAATAGTCAAATGCTAAAGAAGGTCATAGTGACATTTCTTCAAACAAAGATTTGGAAATTACTAGACTCAAGGTCACCAGCTATTGGTTTACTTTTCACTGAGATCTCTATATTACTTGATTCTTTATTCATGCCTTTAGCAGGCGACTGTGCCAACTTAAGCTATACCTTGCTGAAAACAATAGAGGAAGAGACATTTTGCAGACATCTGACTTCCTTTTTTCTGTAGTATTAGAGCTTATCAAGACAGATGAAACAATGGAATGACTGGTATACAAGATTAAAGAAGCTCATGAAAGGAAAGGAAGGCAACAGAGCAGGAGGTCTGAATAAAAGACCATAAAAAGAAAAACTGCAGGATATATGACAGAACACAGACACCAGATAGAGCACCTTATCAATCAGGATAGTTCAGGTTATGTTGCAACAACAATTCTAAGATGTAAGTGACCTAAAACAGTGTCAGTCATACAATATGTTATTGTAGTCACTCAGAAACCCAGGAACTTAAGAGATTCTGTCTTGACACATCTGTCTATGATGGATCTCCAAAAATAAAAGAGAGAATGACATATTGTCTACCAGCTCTTAAAGTGACAGATATCACTTATATTTGCATTTCATTGGACAGAGAGAGTCAGCTTTCCATGTTCCCAAAAGAAGGGATTAGAGTAGTTGCACAAAGAGTGATGGCTAACACAATCACTGGAGGCTTTGGTAGCAGGCAATAGGGACCCAATCACAAAAACTGTGATCCTGAAGTCACACTCTAGTATCTTGAAAAAGTATAAATCAAGGTGGGACTTAGTTATAAAGAACACGCCCAGTTATCAGAGCTTTGGTCTCAAATATAAGCATGCATTTGAACTGTATCTTGACCAGGTTGATCCAGGAGTCAGGTCCCTGACTTGAATCTGTATATGCAGATGAGAAGAGAGTTGTAGAGGGAGGTCAAGAAGTTCATTAAGTCAACAAATCCTAAGCCATTACGCCATCTCCACAATTAATACGTTAAATATGGCTGGTGCCTGTTTTGTGTGTGTGTGTGTATGTGATTGTGAGAGAGAGAGAGAGAGAGAGAGAGAGAAAATCTCCTCACTATTTGTGTTTTGTATGAGGAGTTTTGAATGAGGTCACATTAGCAGTCACATCAGAATTATGCTCCTGAGGGATCTCCCAGCTGCTAAATGAAGAGCTCAGTAACTCCAAGACTTTTGTATCAGTTCCTGGAGTTATATCACTTACTCAGGAATCTTTCCCTCTTTTCTGTCATACTGCTGCTTTGCTACTGGTTGTTTGCTAAGCACTTAATATCTCCAGCAAACTGCAGAGGGCTGTTACAGCCACTAGACTTTTCTTACTAGTATACGGACCTAACCAGACATTGCCTCTTGCTGCATCCCAAAGCCTTCAGGCATCTTAATAGCTCTGTAATCCCTCAAATATTCCCTAGATTTCTCATAAAATTGACAACTTCAGGTTCTATTTCTATCCCTCACAACAGAGGAAATTAGATGCCACCATGTTCCATCTAATCCCTCATTTCCCTCAACTCTCTTCTGCTTCTCCCAGCAAACCCACTTTCTTCTTTCCTCAAATACAGAAATAAACATATGAACACATGCATCTGAGCCCACCAGATCCAAAGACTATTAGGCTGTGCTCAGCTGGAACATAGGGCAATAATATATAAAACAGAGAACCTTTTCCCTAGTCTCTGGTCAACATCTTTTCCTGGGAAAATCTAGAAAAATGGAATTTAACAGAGCCTATCTGCTGTTCCTTACATATCGCTAGAAGAACTCATCTTCCTCCTTTCAAAAACTGCCTTGAATTTCTATACTGCCTTTCACAAAATAGCATTTCCCGTCATCCCCTACTTCCTCATCCCCCTTTCTCTCCCTCACATTAACTTGGTCAGCAACTTCTGTTGATTTGCATCTAGACATCTTTCAAATTCACCAGTTTTGCTTTACACAACCACCATTCCTATAGACTTGGCCATTATCCTGTTTCACTTAGCTCAACACAACAGCTTTTAAAACGGTTCTTCTTGTTTCCACTTCAGTTAACTGTAATTAATGTGATCTTTAAAAAACAAATGTTATGGTGACATTCTCAATTTTTCACTCATTTAGTTAATAATTATTTTTAAAATTATTATTATTTTACTTTTTAGAAGCTCAGTTTAAAAAAAAATATGTGGGGTATAAGATAGGATTAGGTAGATAGTAGTCTACCTCCCACTGGTCCTCACTTCACCTGGTTTAGGATCCTCCTGCCTCAGCCTTCCAAGTAGCCGGAACTACAGGCATGCACCACCATGCCCAGCTAATTTTTTGTCTATTGTAGAGAGGTGGACACAACAGGTTGCCCAGGCTGATCTCAGACCCATGGGCTCAGTCAATCCACTTGCCTCGACCTCCCAAAGTGCTGGGATTACAGGCTGAGCCACTGAACCCAGCATTCTTGTAGTATTACAATAAATGTTCAGGATCTACTTATGAGTGAGAACATACTCCTGACCATAACCCCAAAAGCCTGTCACATAAGAGATAGGCAAGCAGGACCTCATCAAACTAAAAAAATTATTATGTGAAAAATCTTGCCTTTAGAATTAACTTGCAATACTTTGCAGGACATACAAGGCCTAGCCCCCAGTTTTCCATATAAATGTCATTTTTCACCACTGATAAACCTGCCGTCCCAATCAGCTAATTTATATAGTCAGATCTTCTTAGGGCTGCTGCACAGCATACCCAATCTCTTCCACTCTTACATACTAACATGCTTTTCTTAAAACAACATGTTTTCTTCTTGTGCTGAAGTGTTTTTTTTTTTTTATTTTATTTTAAAGATGTGGGGTACATTTCAGGATTAGGTATACAAATGTTCATTATGCAGGTATCCTTGTAGATGAGGTGTGCCCCTCCCTCCCCTGGCAGTTTCCTTCAACTGCCAATCCTGCCCCCCAACCTCCCTCACAATCTACCCCCAGTAGTTTCCCACTACTGCCAATCTGTTTCTTATAGCATTATGATAATTGTTCAAGGTCCACTTACGAGTGAGAACATATGGTACTCTGTTCTTTGTTTCTGTGATAGACCACTGAGTATGATAGACTCTAAATCCATCCAAATTGCTGTGAGATCCATGTTTGTCCTTCTTTATGGCTGCATAATATTCCATTATGTAAATATACCACTTTTCTTATCCAGACAAGCTTCGATGGGCAGCATGGTTGGTTCCATGTTTTTGCTATTGTGAATAGTGCTGCAACAAACATGTGGGTGCAGGTATCTCTTTTGTAGAATGATTTGAATTCCTCTGGGTATATTCCCAGTAGGGGGATTGCTGGGTCATATAGAAGGTCGATTTCTAGTTCTTCTAGAAATCCTTGTACTAAAGATAATTCATAGAACAAAAATGTATACCCTGAGTTTTTTTAAAAGAAATGTAAACAGTTATATTTAAATACAACTGCATTGCTTTGTTGTTAATTAAAGAGCTTTATATCATGGACATTTTAAATGCTAACTAGCATGCATTGCAATTTCTTAAAGTATCATGGAAATTTTGACTGTATTTTACTGTTGAGCCATTGTCTTTTGCAACTGGATTATTTTGCCCTTTCTTAGCTAACAGGCAAGCTATTTAATGTTGGCATGTGTTTTATCTCACAGTGCATTTTATTTTTTTATTGTTATTTTAGACTTATGGATACAGGAGGAGTTATTACATAAGCATATTGCTTGAAGGTGAGGTGTGGGCTTCTGACAAGCTCTCCCACTCCATTAGTGAGTGTGATACCCAACGGATGGTTTTGTATCTCTTTTCTCTCTCTCTCTCTTATTTTTTTCTTTCTTTTTTGAGTTAGAGTCTCACTCCATCGCCCAGACTGGAGTGCAGTGGCACGCTCCCAGCCACCACAGCCTTGACCTGCTGGGGTCCGGAGATCCTTCCACTTCAGCCTTCCAAGTAGCCGGAACTACAGGCATGTGCTACCACGCCCGGCTAATTTTTGATTAATTGTAGAGATGAGGTCTCGCCAAGTTGCCCAGGCGGGTCTTGAACCCGCGGGCTCAGGCAATCCACTCACCTCGGCCTCCCAAAGTGCTGGGATTACAGGCTGAGCCTCTGAGCCCGGCCTGTATCTCTAATCCTTATCCTCCCTCCCTCCTTCCCTCCCTCCTTTAGCAGTGCCCAGTGTCTGTTGTTCCCACCCTTTTATCCATATGTGCCCAATATTTAGGCAGTATACAGGAAGAGAGAACATGCAGTGTTCAGTTTTTTGTTTCTCATAGTGCATTTTAACATTATTTTTAAATAAGAAGAGATATTTCTATTTTAAACTAGACAAGCATCTTGAACATAAAAAGTACAATAAGCTTTCACTTAGAAACAGCAATAAGTTTTTGGGAACTGCAACTTTAAACAAACAAACAAAAATAATGAAATCTATTTTATCCTAGACTAATTGATATAAACAAAAATTAAGTTCCTGTGACATATTTCTAGTCATGAAAACATCACCCAACTTCTAAGTAAAAACTAAAACATATCTTATATTAAACATTGAAATAAGTGTGAGCTATACACACATTTAAGAAAGATTAATAAAAGCAAGAGAATGGTCTACTCCACTTTTTATAAACCAGTAAGTGATAGTATTTGTAGTGGTGGTGAACTACATCAAAGAATAAATATTTGCAAAGAAAAAAATTGTCAAGAGCACCTCCTACCACCATGCAGTTCAAACACAATCAAATATGATGGGTTCACTGATTGCCTTGGTAAAAGCATCATTTGTTGTTGTACATTTATATGACCATTGTATGCTTTGTAGATTTTTATTTTACAATAATTTATATTTATTCATTCATTTTCCAACCCACTGATTCCAGTTCAGGGTTGTAGGTGGCCTGCACTTATTCCAGCAACTCAGGGCCAAGGTAGGAACCAATCTTGGACAGGACATCATCCTATCCCAGGGCACAAACACACACACATTCACACTAGGACCATTTAGACATGCCAGTTCACTGGGATGTGGGAGGAAGTTGGGATAACTGGAGAAAATTCACGGATATGAGGGAGAATGTACAAACTCCGCACAGGCAGTGGCCCCACAATGGCTCCTGATAGGAACTGATTTTTTTTTTCCTCATCAATATTACTACAAAATGATGTTGCTGGAGGACCTGCTGTACTCTTCAATTTACTTTACAACTTTGTTTTTTTAGTTAGTTAGTTTTAGTTAGTTTGTTTGTTTGTTTAACTCATCCACTGTTTTCTTCTTACCAGTATAACCATAACAAGGGTTTGATTTGTTCTTGGGAAAAAACCTGCTCCACTCATAACTCAAGTCAAACCCGCTGGCTGTTTTTTTCTCTTCTTTCCAGACCAAGTCAGTGATGACTATTAACCACTCACCAGGCAAAACTAACCAACTATTTGTCCTCTGTGTCACAGATGTGACCCATAGAGTACTAAAGCCCAAGATCTCAATAAGAGAAAGGGGACAGAAATGGAAAAAGGGCAGGATCAGACAGCATTTGCCCTCTAAGCATCAGTTTTCCAAAAAAGGCACATCTGCATTAGATTGCACGGTGCATCAAAATCTCAAGCAAACCAAAAATAGATTTCACTGCTTATCACCTCATTAAGGCTCAGCTTAGATATTACTTCCTTAAGGGAGACTTTCCTGAGATTGCCTCTTTGGGTCTTATGTTTATCTGTGGGATCCCATTGATAGCAAAATACTTACCAAATGGAATTAAGTGTGATTATCTCTCTTCCTAACTAAACTATTAACTCCCTTAGTGCAGGGACTAACATTTTTTGTTCGCTAGCAAAATGCATCCTCAATAAATATTTGCTGAGTGCATACATTAATCAAGGATCATTGTATCAGATATTCACAAGTCACTCCAGTATTTCCTAAGTTATGTTTTATTTATATAGACTTTTTTTCCAGGTACAAACTAAAGAAGAAGATTTGGAAACAGAATTCTACAATGATTTAACTTCTCTTGGACATGATGAAAATAAAAAAACTGCACATGTTAGTGAAGGGAAAGGCTCTTTTCATGTACCAATTTTTTATTCCTCAAAGAGAAGAGAAACTGTCAACCATAATTCTGCCTTTAAACAAGCCATTGAAGCTTCCCACAAAAAGGTAATAAAATGATTCCCAATCTTTTTATTCTTTTTTGAAAATTACACAAATTCAAGTAATCAAGTAACAAGAAGGAGTTTTAGTATTGCATTACTATCAGTAAAATTTCTTACATATTTAAATAGCTTTACTTCTTTGTTATATCCCACTTCAAAAGTTGCAGAGATAATATATATATTGATGCTTTTTTTTGCAAGTATCTGACTGTATTATTGTTATGTTCTCTTTATTTTCACTTTTCTTTTTCATACTGTTGTGGGTGTGTTTCATATAAATCACATATAATAGGAATTTATCTTTTTATGTGTTGGGAAAATTTACCCAACTTACATTTAGTATACTCACTAAAATAATTTATTGTATTTCTTCCATCTTTTATTTTTCTTACTTATTTCACTTTGTTACTGTTTTGTGTTTTCTTACATTTGCTTTTTTTACAATCACATTTCTATTTACTACCTTTTTTTCTTGTTGGTCATTTTGGAAACTCTACTATACTTTTAAGTGCTACTTGTAGCTACTTTTCTCTAGCTGATAAGCATAATTAAACCTATAATTTTTATTTCATCACATTTAATAATATTTATGGTTCCCCCAAAAGATGTTTTACTTGCCTGTTCTCCACATGCCATTCCCACGATGTCCTTGAGAACATACTTGCCTTCCTACTCTCTTATTATGAGCTTCTAACACCACAGTTTCAGTGAAATAGTTAAAAACATTTGTGTTCCAAGCTATTCCTAGAGTTTGTACTGTACTTACTTTTAATTGTATGTTAGTTCGTATTCTACTCTGACTTCTGTACTCTACTTAGAGATTCCTCATATAATACATGCAATTTCTAAGCTCATAGTCTACATTTTATGTGTGTTATATTTTATATATGTATTATAAGGTAAATATTTAGACACACACACACACACACACACACACACACACACATACACACACAAATTTGCCCATCACCATTTCTTTTCCACTCATCTTCCTTTTCTAGTAATCTCTATTTTCATTTAGTTGTCTTTTTTTTTTTAGTATTTTCCTCAGATAAAAATACCTGCAAGGTATATTCTTTAAATTTTTGTATATCTGAAATTGCCTGCCTTTTGTTTAAGCAATAAAGATAAAGAATGTGCTGGTTATATCAAAGTCTTCCTCTCTTGGAAGCCAGTAGACATTATTCCACTGCCTTCAAATTTCCATTGCTGTATAAGAAAAAAATGACATTTAGAGCTAATCTTCTTTTTTTGTTTTGTTCCCCATGTTTGGAAAGTTATGTGGGTTTTGTTTGTTTGTTTGTTTGTTTTACTCTTAGAATTTAGAATATATCTAATTATTGGATTTTTCTCATCTTGCCAGGATAACATGGAACCCTTTCAATATGTAAAGATGCAGCTTCTCCTGTTAATCTTTCTTCATATGTTACTTTTTCATCTATTATTGACATGTTATATCTCTTGGACAAGACTTCCAACTCTTAAATGATTTAAAAGAGGGGTTTCTATTAGAAATTTTTAGATATTTATGAAGATCTTTTAAGATAGTACCTATTACAACCACCACCCAAAGTGGTATTTGTTCTTTTCTGTAAGATGAATGGGAAGAATGAGCCCTGAATCTAGAACTTGAGAGGGAAAAGATGAAAGGAGGAGACAGGGGTACCAACGCTGGAGCCAACCAGACCAACAACCGGAGGGCGCATAGTATGACTCCTCCTGCCTTTATTGTAGTGTCCCTCCTAGTTTTGTCTATTCATCCACTCATACACACATATAAATATGAGATCTTACAGTACAGCACTCTATAACTTTCCTAAGAAATTCATTTGCCATCAGAAGAACCCTGAGAGGCAACCAGAGTAGATATTTTAACAACATTTTCCAGATGAATAAGTTGAAGTTCATATACTTGTTTTTAATTCCACAAACATTTCTCAAATACCTACCAGGTGGCAGGAATTATACCAAAGTCCAAGAATCTGACTGACTTTCAGTGATCTTACAGTGAGTAAATGCCAGAGTTGGAAATTGAAATCAGTTCAACTGACTTTTGTCCACCAATTCTTATTCCCTTACATTATACTTCATGCTATTTGATTATTTATTTATTTACTTATTCATAATTTCAACTATGAAAAGAATACAGCTCTGATGATATGGACAAGTAAAATATGAGAATAAAATAGTTTTCTTTTATAACATATGACATATATTTTTACTTCACTTTTTAATGGCCTATGCATCACATAATGCCCTCCAAATGATATTAGTAAGACACGTGAATATCAGAATTTCTTGTAAGTAAAAACATACATCTCTAGACCCTTCCCTTAATCTACTGATTCAGAATACTTGGAGTTGGACATGCAAATTTGGCCTTTTCTTTTTAACATCCCAGCTCACTCTGATATAGCATCTAGGATTGGAAATATCTAAAAATATAGTCAAAGATAAGAAGGTAGGATGTTTGAGTGATGTTTGTAGGTATAGATAGCAGTCCTGACATTAAGATTTGCTTCACTTACTTGGTTTAAAAATATTTCAAACACACTAAAGAATATTTGTAAAAACCCTTATCTGTAGACAAGCAGCTATTGTTTGGTCCTCTAATAGTTTGCCCCAAAGTGGAAACATTCAGGGCTATACACTGTATCCAGTTTGGACATATAAAACTGTTATTAAACCATTTTTTATTTAAATAACTGTCAGCCTTATACAGTTCAACCCAACATCATGACTACTGTCTTTGATTAGGTCTGCACTCAATTAAGGAAATCACCAACTAAATAGAAAATGCTACTGCAGCCTCTCTTAGTCTTCAAGTAGTGAAAATGAAGTACCACAAACTTGAAAATTAATCCAAGTCCTTCAGTAGAGCATAATACTTTATTTTGCCAGCCACAGATCTGACTAGACATTTGTTAGGCAAATAGTTTCACAACAAAATACTAGTTAACTCAATAAAATTCAGTACTTTCCTGATATACTTTACAAAAGTGAAACCGCAGAAGTATGATTAAAATAAGGCACAACCACACAAATAATTGAAATAGATTATTTGTGGTTTAACAACCTACTGAGATATAATTTTTTAGCCTAAAATAGCCAGTTCCAACCATCATGCACTAGCAAGCAGAGTACCATGAAGGTGTTTGTGCTAAGTTTAGCTACCAAAGTTTAACTTGTATTTTCTGTGATTCAGTCTTTAAAGCAACCTAAAATTTTGGAACCTCCCAGAATGGGCATTTCAGATACTCAGGTAGTGAGTGAGCTTCTTACTAAAAGCACAGAGGCTCTCCAACTTTTGAAAGCTATGGTTCTATAACTAAATTCAAGTATTAAACTTAAAAATAGAATTAATGGGCACTTTACAAATGTAAGCTTTACAAAGGTATGAACTTTGCTCACTTCTGTATCTGCAGTGTCTGAGATAGTTGGGCAATACATGTATTGAAGGCAAGAAGACAGGAAGGAAAGAGGGAGGAAGACAGAAGGGAGATGAATGGTGACTCTTTTTAGATTCTTGTGATTATCTTTTTTCTTTTGTGTTAGCAGTCATTTTGTTCTATAATTATAGCAAATAGGAAGATGGCTGTTTAATAATTAAGTTACAACAAAGTTAGTTTGCTAAAATATATCCTCACTCTGTTACATTACTCAAGCACCGAAATTTGTTAAAAATTAAGAGATCAGATAAAGTATATAATTTTTTTAAAGTATACATGGATACACTCATAAACCTCAGAGACTACGTAGAAGGACAACCTAAGGGAATGAGATTTTAAGCATAATACCAACCACCTAATTCTAAATTAACCTGACCTAACAAGAAATTATAAACAAGTTTGCAAACAAACAAAAACTCATATATTTATGCATATGGGTGGAGGGGAAAGAATATAAATAATTTTTCTTTGATATCACCCCTTGGTAATAACCTGACTGTGTTTTTATGCCTGCTGCATAAAAAAGAACTAATGAATGAGACAGCAGTGTTGCAATAGTAGAGAATCACAAAGCAACTAAGTAAAGAATAAAGGAGATACTTCTCAAATCCGCCTCCTCAAGAGTTTTAGGCTAGGATTTCTCAAAGAATAGCTTGGCAAGCAGGTGATATAGAATGGATGCTGTTGATTAGTTGGAAGTGAAGTCATAAAAGCTTAGAAACTCTTCTGTGCACAACTTTAACCTTGTGGCCTTTTATTAATATTATAAAGACATTTTTACAATGGCAATTTTACCCTAAATAATTTAGAATCATAGCATTTTGGAGTTTAAAGGATGTGTGAAATATCACTGGGGGCAGGCCTCATCTTATCATTTGACAACAGAAGTAGAGAAAATTGAAACATTTTTTCCAGCTAGTGACCAAGCTGCAACTGGAATCTCAGTTGCATAACTTCCAGTTGAAAATGTATGCAATATTTTTTCAATTATTTACATTAGCAAGCATTCTAAATAAAAACTCAGTAGGGATGCAACAATGATTGGCAATCAAGAAAAAAGACCGACTCTTCTGGTAAATAACCTCTTCTTTCCTAGAGAGCATATGCCTCAGTAACACAGTTTACATTATTGAGATAATCTTATCTGTTTAGCACTTTGAATATCCATACTGAAAAGTAAATAAAAAATTATAATTTTTTATGTGAGAATATTCAATAGAGACTTAAGATTGTTATAATACTATGGTAGAAACAAGGCTAATGATAAAAATTGATTACATTTAAATGCTTGATAACTCCCGCTTTCATTACTTTTAATTATTTTTTTACACCTTTTTTTCATTTAGGATTCTAATTTTATTAGGATCCATAAAGTGATAAAAGTCTTAAACTTCACAATGAAAGCTAAAGATTTGCATCTTTCTGATGTCTTTTTGAAAGCACTTAACCATCTGCCTCTAGAATACAACTTTGCTTTGTACAGCCGAATATTCGATGACTTCGGGACTCATTACTTCACCTCTGGCTCCCTGGGGGGTGTGTATGACCTTCTCTATCAGTTTAGCAAGGAAGAAATAAAGAACTCAGGTAAGTTCTCTTCAGCCCTTTCTCTTTTAAACTAGCATGATAGCATGCAATACATTGTTTTTCTCTTACCTTTTCATTTTAATTATTCTTCTTGGGCTTTATTCAGATTCTGCTTTATTTCCAAAATGACATAAAGAACAATAAAAAACATATTCAAATAAATCAAATAAAAATAGAAAATGAGGACCAAAAAAGAAAGAAAGAAAAGTATTCACAACCTCTGTGATTTGGGGCATCATATGTGCCTCTAAATTTTCTGACATCTGGGAACATCATAAGCTACATAAGTTACTCAAGAAGGAACTCAAGGGAAACAAAGTGTGTCCTGGTACTAAATTTTAAAGGATAATTTACTTATAGCATTTTTCTAGAAAATAATTTCATGGAATAATAATTTATAGCAAAGTCAATAATAATATGTCCTTTTAATAATTTTCACTAAAAGTCAAGAACATATGATAAAAAAACAAATTAAGGACTTGACAAGGGACAAGTTAATCTGTACCTACTAATGATGGAAACTGAAACCAAATGTGAAGGACTTTTATTGGAGGAAAGGCTACAATTCTGTATCTTGAGATAAAAATCAGATATTTTTCTGTTTGCTTACAAAATAACAATATACACAATATCTTGGTTTCTTAAGTATTACCTCAAATTACTAATATTAGGTTATTATTGCAGCCTAAGCATCTTTGGATAAATTTGGTTTCAGACTCCAGGGTGAAATTGCATGGGGTTCTTGTGATGGTCTAACACCAATTCCCTGGAAAAAAAATACAATTATTTATTATTAACCTTTTGTGCAGAAGAAACCAGGAACTTATTTAAAAATACAGCATCAGGGCAGCCCTGGGATCAATAGAGTTCCAGTTTCTCTGTTCTTAATACAATTTCCCCAAGTCCTTCAAAATCATAAGGGATCAGATGTCCCTTATGATCTGCTGCCTGAAAGAGGAGATGGGATAAACATCTTTTAGAAGGATTTTCCATAAGAAGAACTTCAACAAATTTTACCTGATATGTTTACTAAATCCGAAAGGTTTGTGCCATTACAGGCTTTCCACACTGCCTGCCCATTAGGTTTCCTTTCAGTCATTCTTTCCACTGGAGCAATGGTTGCATGATGAATGTAATGTCTTCTGCCACTACGAATAGCATCAATACTAATGCTGAGCAAACGTTTGAGGGAAATTCTGGCCCTTGACTTGGCTTCATATCACCCTCAGATAATAGTATTCTGGTCACTTCTGCCATAGCCCAGACACTAATTTCCCTCTTGATAAGTGATGTATCATGCATTCAGAGAAAAGCCTCTAAGTGCTTAAAGATGGGTTGGTTAAAGAACTGGGTAAACCTTTAATCAACTATCCAGGGTTTCAATAGTTGAAGCCCTATTTCCACAATGAATGATAATATGCTATACTTTTCTATTGAAATATTCTTTCCTTCTATCTCTTTCTCTATAGAGATCTGACAGATACACATAATGAAGGAAAAAGAGCTTGACTTTCAGACCTGACAGGAAACTCAAAATAAATACCATGTATATTCATATATACATGTACATATACATACACATACTATATAAAAGTATTTACGGTGTGTATATACATGCATATATATACATATATTTAATAAGACATATTCTATATTCTTATATTCAGAATATATGCATATACTGAATATAATAATATAGAAAATATATGTGGATATATTTCTCCAAGTCACAATAATAATATTGCTGTAACATTTTCATTGTGGTTAAAATGAAGCAATCAGTAAAATGGAATTCTCTAGTGAGTGTCTGGCTAGTTTTGCTCACTCTCTAGATGCATATATATTCTTACCTCTTCTCTTTTCTTTCTTTCCATTCTTTCTTTACTACCATAACATGAAACTAGAGTATAGATTTAATTTTGCTATCCTATATTCAATAAGAATGCTATCCTTCATCATTAATTTTTGGAAAATGGACCGGGTTTGGTGGCTTAGTCTGTAATCCCAGCACTATGGGAGGCCGAGGTGAGTGGATTTCCTGAGCCCGCGGATTCGAGACCCGCCTGGGCAATTTGATGAGACCTCATCTCTACAATAAATCAAAAAATTAGCTGGGTGTGGTAGCACGCGCCTGTAGTTCCAGTTACTTGGAAGGCTGAGGCGGAAGGATCACCGGAGCCCAGCAGGTCGAGGCTGCGGTGGCCGGGAGCGGCCACTGCACTCCAGTCTGGGCGACAGAGTGAGACTCCAACTCAAAAAAAAAAAAAAAAAAAATTTGGAAAATGACTTGAATATTGCATAGTACTTTCTTTCTCTCAAAAGGAATAAAACAAAATTACATTGTTTTTTATTTGCATCCCTTGATTTACTCCTCTATTGTTCAGTGTTCCATAGTCAAGTTAAAACCTTGTATAAAAGTTGACATTGCTTCAGTGTGCAAGGTGAAAAAAATTTCATGAATATAGCGAAAACATTAAATAATAAAAATATCATAACATGCAAGATGGTAATTTTGAAGTATTTTTGTCTTGAAGTCATTCTCTGCTCTGAACCAGAGGTAAAAAATTTATTCATCCCACTATTTATCAGTTTGGCTTTTTACTCTTGCCTCTTGCTCAGTGAGAATAGCTGAGGACATTACTGAAAACTCATCCTTATGCCACACATCAGAGAGACATTCAGGTTTCAGAGGCCAGATGCTTCAGTAGAATACATTTACGATCAGCAAATTTTTCACTTTCCCATACTGAGAGCAGGTGAAAATTTTTTTTAAAAAAATCTGAAGCTGGTGGCCACAGACTTCTGTCGTTAAGCACAAGTGAAATGATCTTTTCTAAATTGTCACCTTTTTCACAATATAGCTGAAAGCTGCAGACGTATCCAGTATTTGCCTCAGACACCACTGTCTAGCATTCTGTACTTTGTATTTTCTTTTAACTTTTAATTTTCTTATTTTAAATATGTGGCATACAATTCAGGTTAGGTGTACAAATGTTCATTATGCAGGTACCCTTGTTGATGAGGTGTGCCCCACCTCCCCTGGCAGTTTCTCACTACTGCCAATCCCTTTCTTATAGTATCATGATAATTGTTCAAGGTCCACTTATGAGTGAGAACATATGACACTCAGTTCTTTGTTTCTGTTTTAGATCACTGAGTATGACAGACTCTAAATCCATCCAAGTAGCTGCAAAGTCCGTATGTTTGTCCTTCCATTGTGTATATGTACCTTTGTGTATATGTACTACTTTTTTTATTCAGTTCAGCTTCAATGGGCAGCATGGTTGGTTCCATGTTTTTGCTATTGTGAACAGAGCTGCAACAAACATGCATGTGCAGATATCTTTTTTATAGAATGATTTGAGTTCCTTCAGGTTTATTCCCAATAGGGGGATTGCTGGGTCATATGGAAGGTCAATTTCTAGTTCTTTCAGAAATCACCACACTGTCTTCCAAAGAGGTTGCACTAGTTTGCATTCCCACCAGCAGTGTAGAAGTGTTCCTTTTTCTCTGCATCCTCGCCAGCATCTGTTGTTGTTTGTTTTATTAATGAAAAGCCTGGTATTTTAATTACTATATGTCCAATACCATAAAAAAATTCATCATTGCATCTTCAAGAATTCAACATAGCCTTCTGAAAATGAAATTAATTTTATAGTTAATGCATATGTTAGAGTTAATTAATTCAAACATGCAACTTAATTTTCACTAGTGAATAATAAAAACTAAATGAAAGAGTAATTGCAATTGTGAGTGACCCACTTATAAAAACAATGCTACCAGAAGAAAAATGAATCCAATTTATTCAACCAGACTGAAACAGCCATGTTTTCTGTTAGAGTTGAGGATGCAAAGGAAACATGAGAGCTTCAAATCAAGAATCTTTTACTCCCAACTAATAATGCATCTCTTCAAATGTACAAACTATCACCAAAAAAAGTGAGGTAGGCAGACCAGTTTGCATCTACCAAGCCTCATTTCTCATTTCTGCATCATATCCTATCAGGGCCTCAAGTTCTGAAAACATTTGCCCCTGCTTAATGTAATCTGCAGTTCTAATTATCAGTTGTTGACATTTACAGCTCTATCTCCACCAGGACACAATATGTTCATGTAACAAACATGCATTTGAATTCCCTTGATTTAAAATTTAATAAATAAATAAAGGAAATACTGATTTTCCTTAAAACACTCCAGGTAGGTAGTACCAGCTCAGCCAACAAAGTTGCTAGCTCTATTTCCCTGCACTGTTCCATTCACACACAGATTTTGACATCATTGAGAATGATCACAAACATTTTGGTGGCAATGATTCAGATGCCAAAATCTTCCACAAATGATGCTTTGGAGTTTGGTAAAGGGAAAGAACAATGAAGACTTAAAGAACGGCCTGAGCCTCAGGATTTTTGTAAGACTTAAAAACTATGGATTCCAAGTTATGAAGAATTAAAATTAAAGAAAACAAATAATAATACTAACTTTAAAAGACTATGGAAATAATCCAATGAATGCAACACCAGGAAACTAGGAAGATATTGATCCCAACTTCCACACCTGAATAGGTTGGGAATAAAGCAGTATCAACTTCCCATGAAGACAAGTGGAAAGACAGTATCAAGTTCAGTCTTGAATCAACATAAGGAAATGGAGAGAAAAACTAGGGAAGAGGGCAAAAAGAGTTCATAGGTAAGAAATTCAGAATTTATGAAATCAAAATAAAAAGGCTTTAGAAGTAAGAGCAGAGTGAACAGCTTAGTGCACTAAGAGGAAAGAGAAAGCACAGAGAAGTATGAGAATGAGATCAGGGAAGAAGAAATGGCCAATAAGATTTGCGTTTTAGGTGATGAACAGGGAAGCATGTGAAATAGACTCAGATCTCACAGAATCAGTGATGGCTCAGAAAGTAGACCTTACAGTAGAAAACAGACCAGAGCATGTCATAATCTCTTGATTTGTAGGGCTACACAGTGGTGGTGACCAGTAGAAAGAACAAGCTTAGAGCTCTAATGTGTTGAGTGGCAAAATGGAGCAGGCAACCCAAGAGAGGCCAACAGGGGCCCATGAATAAGCTGCAGTTAGTCATATGTGTTTCTGAGGATCAGTGTTAAAGGGAGAGATGATAAGAACTCTCAGATACTCTTCTCTTCAGGACTATCTCAAGACCTGCACAGATTAAATCTGTAGGTAAAGCTGTTAATATCTCAAGTTTATGGGGGTTGGGGAAGAGGAAGCTGACATTGAGTATCTGTAGCTCCAAAAGTGACCACAGCCTCATGTTCCTCTTTGAATTCTGAGTGGATTTGGTTTGTACTCCACTCCCTAGGTTTAACAGAGGAAGAATCCCGAAACTGTGTCCGGATTGAGACAAAGAAACGTATTCTAGGATTTAAGAAAAAAAAAGTGGAACATCGGTGCACCACTAACAAGTTGTCAGAGAAATATGAAGGTAACAGTATTCTCTCCTATCCAGTTCCCTGATGCTGGCTGTCATTTACCAACAATATTGGACTTGACTGTGCTATTTTTAACTTTTCATTTATTTCATTTATTTGCCTCAGAGCCCTCTTTGGGTGTTGGAAGATGGGGGCTGGTACAAATAAAATATCATGAGCACTACATAAAAGGGGAAATGGTTAATATTTTCTTTATCTTATACTTAGATTGCTTAATTTAGTGAATAATTTGTTGATTTTTCCCATGGGCAGAACTCAATATTAGGCACTGTGAAGTAAATATGGGTGGGAACCAGCACCTTACAAAGTTAGGATGCATATAAATATCCATTAAAAATACTGACTGATAAGGATCTAAGAGGGTTTTTTTTTAAAGTTATAAAAATACTATGGGCAGGAGAAAATAGGTAGAAGGAAATCCTGAGATCAAAATACATCAGATTTTGTGTAGCAAATTATTTGGTGGCTATGCGTTGAAGACGGCAGAAGACTTTGGCAAATGGGGAAAGTAAATCCAGGCAAACTTGCTGAAAAAAGAAGTCAGATTTTGCAGAATATCTTGCTCTTTCCCAGAGTTTCAACCACTGCTTTTGGGCTTTCACTCCTAAGCCCAACCCAAACATACCTTCTTGGATATCCTGATCCCCAGCTTCGGACACCTACTATCCATTAAATATGTCTGCTGGAATATCTCTAAATTCCATACTTCATATTCTCTCCCTGCTGTCCATGGTTCAGATCATTATCTAGCAGCACAGCCTTCACCTTATAGCTTAATAGGACTGTTGTGAAGAATAAATGACATGTTTATAAGGACTCTCTTGTAGTGACCAGCAACGGGTTGGCTCCTTTCACCTTCTCTCTCCTTTAGCAGTCTCAGACTTGATAAATGGCATTTTCATCAACCAAGTCAGCCAAGCCAGAAACCTGGCTGTTGTCTTTGATTATAGCCTCTTTCTAGCCTCTGTGTCCAATAAGTGCCCATGTGTACAATCCATGCTACCTCCTAATTACCTGTCCAACTTATCTCAATCTCTTGTTTCCATGGGCACACCTAGATTATTTCCAACCAAGATTATCACAGAAGTCTCCTAACTGGTCTCCTTGCTGCTATTCTTGCTTTCTTCTAGTCTATTCTAGCATTTCAGTGAGAGAAATCTTCTCCATGGCAAGTCTTACTCATGAAATTTTCACACTTTGACCATGTCGTCATTCCACATGGTCTTAAGGATAAGTTCCTGCCTCTCTTTGCATAGTTAAGCTTTATGCAGGCTCCTAAACAAGCCATGCTCTTTCTTATGCTTTGCCATTATAAATAAGTCCTTCCTCTGCAAAATTCTCTTATACCCTTATTTTGCCTGACTGATTGCTATTGATGCTGCTCAGAACAAAGAAAAGAAAAATCGCAGATACTCTCAGATTTGAAGCTTACATTTTCATGATGAAGATAGAAAAGAAACAAAGACATATAATATTTACTATACTAATAAATAGATAATTTTAAATATAATATCAGCATATAGATGTCTACATATAGATGCTTTTGTTAAGCATAAACAAAATGAGAACTAACTTGATGACTGCACATTCCTATTACAGCAAAAAAAGAGGGTAAAAAAGCATATAGCATGCAAAACAAATAATCTAGTAATAGTAATTTTAAAAAGATACAGATTCCATATCAGTTTATCATCCAATGAAGCAATTTAATAAGAATATGACTTCAATAAATCAAGAGCTGAGAGATAAAAATATTAAATACAATAGTTAATTTAAAAGAGATATTTCAAAGCTAAGGTACAAATACAAACATTAATAAATATCATCATTATAATTATAAATAAAGTAGATACTGCAAGGACAAAACATAATTGTCTAAAAATAAAATTAATAAATTAATCACATATAAGAAATATCTAAAGTAATCACAATAAATACACATAAAAATTCAGATATTATAAAGAAAATCTAATGGAGAAAGATGACAAATATAATTTAATACAAAAAAATTAGTGTACCTGAAACAGATATTCCAATAAATTTAACGTAAAAATTGTATTTTAAAAAACTATCTGTGAGTATGTCTCTGAAATAAAGGAAAAAATTTTTCTTTATTATATACAGAAAATATTGTTCAAATATGCAACTTCAAGACAAATTCTCATTAATTTCTTAAAATCAAAGATTTTTCCATGACTTCTACAAGTATCTTAGCTGAAAAAAACAGCTTTACTACCAAACAGCTACAACAACAAAAATCAAACTGGTCTCAGATTACTCCATGACAAAATTCGGTGTAACAAGACATTAGAGTAATGTCTGGAAATTTCTGAAAGAAAGAAGAACATGTTCATATGTAAAGGTAATAGGAAGACATCTCAAAGCATTACAGAATTCTGGGAATATACATTTTTGAGTACTTACTAAAAAATACTCTTCTGTAAAATCCATGCAACAAAAAAATGAGTTAAAAAAAAGTTGGAATAATGCAGATGTTCAAAGTTAGTATATCTTTTATTTCTCTAAAATGGAACCTAACCTATCTTTCAGATTCCCATTTCTTCTAAGTAGTAAAAAAAATATGAAGTTGCCAGTGTAATGTAACACAGTCATTCTCAGTGTCAATTTTCAAATTGTAGTCAAGCTAAAAATTCCCTTACCCTTTTCCTTGCTGCTTTCCAGAAATAATCTAAGAGTGTGTGTGTGTGTGTGTGTGTGTGTGTGTGTGTGTGTGTGTGTGCCTCGTGCATGCACATGCATATGAATACACGTTGAATGAGGACAGTCAGGTAGTATCCTAGCATCAGAACAAAAATGAGACCTTTGCTAACATGTTGCCCTTTGCCTTTGCTGGCTTCAGTTAATAGGCCATTTGACTCCTCTGGTTCTCACCGTTATGCACTAGCCCTTACTGCCAATGTCAATGGTCCTGCCATGGTCTTTGGTTACGAGGTTCACACCCTTTGAATCTTTCTCATACCAGCTAATTCCAGGTTCCTTTGAGACTACAACGTTCTCTCAAGATTTCCTCACCTTCTTTAGAGTTTAGAAAACCCCTGCCTGTTTTCTTTACACCACAGTGAAGTATGAGGACTTTTAAGGTTACCCAAGGGACTACTTGCTTGGGTACCATGTTGGATATAAAAAATTCTCTGCAGGGCTCACCATTCCCATCCTACTACTAGAGAAGATTAGATAAAATGTATATGAGAGGGCTTCAAAAATTTATAGAAAAAAATGAATTAAAAATACAAACTTTATTTCTCAACATAATCTCTATCAGGTTTAAGCTATTTTTGTAAATGATGATACCAGCCATTTTGCCCACCCCTAAAGAACTTACGGTCCTGGGTATTAATGATGTCAATGCAGTCTTCTTTACGTTGAAAACCAAAAAAAAGTGTCTTTTAAATATTTTTTTCAATTAGCAAACAAAAAGAAATCAGAAGCGCCAAATCAAGACTATAAGATAGATGCTTAATGATTTCCAATTGAATCTTTTGCAAAATTGCCCTTGTTTTATAACAGGAATGAGCAGGAGTATTGTCGTGATACAGAAGGACTTTCTGGTGAGGGTTTCCCAGGCATTTTTATGCTAAAGCCTTGACTAACTTTATCAAAATACTCTCATAATAAGCAGATATTATTGTTCTTTGGCTCTTCAGAAAGTCAACAAAATGCCTTGAATTTTTTCCATGACCTTTGCTCTTGACTTGTTTGCTTTTGCTTTGCCTGGACCACTGCCACCTTTTCTTGGTAGCCATTACTTTGTCTTCAGGACCTTACTGGTAAAGCCATGTTTCATTCCCTGTTACTATACTTCAAAAAAAAAAAATAAGTTTTAGGATCTTGATCCCATTTGTTTAAAGTTTTCTTTGAAAGCTCTGCTTTTGTCTGCAGTTGATCTAGGTGCAACAGCTTCGGCACCCATTGAGTAGAAAGTTTGCTTAACTTTAATTTTTTAGTTGGAATTCTGTAAGCTGAACCAACTGAGATTTCTATGGTGTTGGCAGTTTTTCCTGCTGTTAATCATTGGTGACTTTCAATTAAGGTACAAACAAAATACACTATTTTTCTCGCAAATTGATGCGGGCAGTATGCTGCTGAGAGCTTCCACTTCAGCATCATCTCTTCCCTTTTAAAATGAGTTTTGTGTTTGTAAATGGCTGAGTTCTTATTACTTAGAGGGCATTATCCCCATAAACCTTTCTAATTATTTCACCATTTTTCCATTCAAGACTTACCATAAATTTGATGTTTGTTCTTGCTTCAATTTTAGTAGAATTAAAGTTGCTCTAATGGGGCCCTTTTCAAACTGATGTGTTATTCTTCTCTGTGCTTTCAGACATATTATAACACATTAGTATGGGTTTATTTTGGTGCAAGAATTTTTGAAATCCATGCATTTTTTTAATAATATACATTTTCCATGCACTTTTTGAACACCCATTGTATGAGTGTCTAGCAAATATTTCTTTACCATCATCCTTCTTAAGACTCTGCTCCAAGTGGTAGAATACTAAGTCTGCATTGAGGAATCCACGAAGTCTAAACTTTAGTTACCACATTTGCAATATCCACCATTCTTCCAACTGTTCAAAATCTTTTCTGTTTTCGGGAAGTGAAGTGGTTTATGTTATTATACTTTGTTTTTATTTTATGTTTGGTATTATAAATTCTATGATCTGAATCCTAAAATGTTTAGTTCTCAGAATTTAAATTAAAACATTGAGTTCATTAATTTTTTCTCTCTAAAGAGGCTGACTTCAAATCTATGATTTCTGCTAGATTTACAAAAGTATACTTGAGAGCTCAAAAGACAAAGGTTGAGTCTTTTTCTCTTTGAGTCCCCTCAAGCATAAGGCTGGATGTATAGAAATCCCATTATGCAGTTTCAGTTATGAGAGGAATGATAGAGATAAAGGGGGTTTAAAAACATATACAAAAATTACTATCAAGATATTTACTTCAGTAGATGACTACAGAGCACAAGAATAAAGAAGTAATGGGCAAAGATAAGGCAATGAGAACGGAATTCATTTAATATATAAAACTAAGACCAAACAAGGGGAATACTATTGCTTCGGTGTCTAATGTGCTAAAGATATAATCATTATTTTAAAGCAACAAAATCTTAAATTATAATTTTTAGTGGACAGTCTAAGAAGCCTTTTCTGATTTACACCTCCAATATTATTCATAATTAAGGTTGGAGGCCTTCTTGTTTGTTCTCACCGTGACCTATATACACAATATCATGGCACTCATCACACCGTGTTATGTTTACTTTCTATTTTCTCCTCTGAAAGCAAATTTTTCGACAGTGATGTGGTCTTTACATCCTCAGTATTTAGCACTAACATATTATAAATATTTAATAGATGTGTTTCAATGGATACATGGATGCTTAAAAGAAATAAATGGATAAATAATCAAAATTTGTTGAACTCTTACTTTGTTCCAGGGACTGCTCTAAGTATTTTTTGTGTATTAACTTTTAATCCTCACAATAATCCTATAAGACTGGTACAATTGTTACCCTTATTTTATAGACAAGGAAACAGAATCCTAAAAAGACAAAGGATAAATATATAAATGAAAAAATTAGTATTTCTATTTGTCTCAAGCATAAATTTGTGAAATAAAGCTGAAAAGGTAGATATGGTTCATATTAAACAGAATTACATGTCTTCCTAAAAAAAAGTTTGGACTTAATCCTATTAAAAATTCTCATTATCACTCATATGATCTGCTGGATGCTAATAGATGTTATATGTGAAAAGAGAGTTCCATCTTTAAACTGAAAAACTATGAGTATAACAGAATTAAAAAGAACTTCTCAGAACTTTTAAAACTATAAAGAACATTGTGATTTTTTAAGAAACTAATATAGTATGCAATTTCCCATTAAAATGCCTAACCCTTAACAAGAAATTCAAAGACTTAGTATTGGACAAGGCACTCTGCTGAATTCAGTAGAAAAATAGTAAAAATTAAGTAGGAAAGTTAAATGTCCTTTATAGAAATTATTGTTAGCTGTGATATATTAAATACATGGCATATAGGTTAAATTTGTAGGCCAGATTGCCAATATTCAATTGCTAACTCTACTGTTGGTTGGCTATGGAGCCAACATCAAGAGCTTAATCTACCTTTGCTTTGAGTTTCTCACATGTAAAATAACAATGATAGTAGTATTTACTTCATATGCTTATTGTGAGAATTAAGTAAATAATCTATACAAATTGTTAAGAAAAAAGCCTGACCTATATTAAATATTCATTTCCTATCTGGTATTATTATTTTGTAGTTGCCTAAGTGACATATAGTAAAGACATATAATATAGGAAAATAGCAGTAGAAATTTAAAAATAGGCAAAAATATTGAATAAGCAATTCATGAAATAACATGGTCAAGTAGCCAATAAACATATGAAAAGATGATTAACATTACTGGGAATTAGGAGAATAAAATTAAAACCAAAAATACTACCTCATACAAATGGTGAAACATTTTAAATTGACAATTGTTGGCAGAGTATATAGAACCACACAACCTTCCATACACTGTGGTAGAAGTATAAATTGATAAAAACCATTTTGGAAAGTATTTGGCAATACTAAAGCAAATGAATATATGTATGTATGTGTGTGTGGGTGTATGTATACATATATATGACCTAGAAACTCAACTACTAGGTATGCATCCAACAGGAATATGCACAAATATAGAGCAAAAGTAGTGTACAAGAATGCTCAAAGTAGCATTATTCATTAACTGGATATAACTCAAATGTCTATCAAGAGTACAATGGAAAAATTGTAATATGAATTAACTATTGGTACACACAATAGAAGAATGTCACAATCATAAACTAAACTGAAAGAAACAAGACACAAAACAGTATGTTTTATACTGTTATACATAAAGTTCAAAAATAGGCAAAGCTAATCTATAGCAATCATAATAAAACTGGAATTTGCACTTGAGAATGAGATAAGACAATGAAAGCATGAAGAAGGCTTTTGGGTGCTGCTAGTGTTCTATTTCTTGATGTGGGTAGTGATTAGATGGCTGTTCATTTTTTAAAAATTAATTGAACTGTATACTTATGATTTGTGTACTTTTCTATGTGAATATTATACTTCAGTAGAAAAGTTTTCTTAGAAATGTGAGATGATACTAGATCAGAATCAGAGCTATGTAGGAAACTGAATTGATTCACAGCTATCGGGTTGAGGAAACATCAAATATGAACCTACAGTTTTCAGCCTGTAGGAACAAGAGATCACGGTCAAGTCAGGGACTATTACAATAGTCTCCAGCCTGGTTTGTCCGTAATTCACTGCTACTCAGTTGACACAGCACTGTTAATATTTCCAAATTGTGTGAACTCCCTATCTCAAAACCTTTTATTGTTTCTGGAAAATTCAGTTGTTTCTAAACCTAGAGAATAAAGTCAATTCCTTGGCTTTGCATCCAGATGCTCTCAAATCTGCTCTTCACCTACCTGGGCCTTCTACTTCAACGCTAATTGATGCCTACATAGATTGTCTCCAGAGCCTGGCTCCAGGTCCTTGCCCATGATGCACTCATGGTTTGTGAGGCCATCATCTCCCTGACAAGACTTACCTTTTGCTTCAGGGCCACATCAGTCTTCCATTCAGAAAGCACTCTTCCCTAACTCAGGAATTTTAATTGTTTTACCACTGAATAACCCTTCTCAAAAAAGTGTTTTATTGATCTCTTCAATTTATTTCCCTTTATTTTCATTTTCCCCTCACTCCCTTCCTTCTTTCTTTCCTTCCTTCTTTATTATCCTTTCTTCTTTCTTTCTCCACAGGCTTGCTAATATATTTATGTACCTATTCTGTCTCCTCAATGAGAGTCTAAGTTCTTCAAATACAAGCACCATATTTTATATTTCTCTCAGTTTTGGGTGCCTGGCATATAGCAGATTCTCAACAAATTTTTATTAGTGGCAATTTTCCTAAAATCAAAGATACACTGAAGAACAAAACAGGAACATGGACTTGCCTATTTATTTCTAACCCTGAGTTCATGCAATTAAATCATTGGACTTCAAGGTTTTCATACTACTAAGTATTATGGGAATTATATTTTATATATATATCACTGATATGTATATGTATATTCACTAACAAATTGTATAAATGCATTGTTATAAAAATATGTTATACACAAAATACATATGCAAATATAGAAAATATAATTATTTTTTAAATAGCATATGTGAAATAAACAAAAATTTTTTTGTCTTCTTCATAGTGCTGGCTGCACACATTTAGGACAAAGCTAGTTGATAAATCTGTATTTCATAAAAGCTTCTTGAAATCTTTGACATGTTTTGGTTGGCTTTAGTGTTAATCTTGTCTTTTGGCTTATGAGCAGATTTATAAGAAGCAGAAATATTAATTCTGTCTCCTACTAGTTGTTTTTCTTATGCTTGCCTTGTTAGCATCATTTTCAGTATGCATTTTCTTTCTAGAATCTTTTTAAGTCACTTGTTCACTTGTAAGAGTTAATTCTGTTCAAACTGGCTAATGAAATAGTAAATAGACTTACTCTTTCTTCAGGATCCCATGCCTATCATAGTTAATCTTTACCAATGTCAATACATTTATGAAAAACATGGTATCAATCCAAACGTAAAATAATGCAACAGCCATAGTCAATCAGTATATGACATTTTGGCAAACACTAGTTTCTTTACTACTTTTATATCAAATATAAATGTAAAAACCTCTAAAATATTTTTCTTATATCCTTCTATATTTTCTTATGTACTTCACTTTGGAAGGAACCATACTACCTTCTTCATAAGCAGAGTATTTTACCCATCTTCCAGTCATTCTAGTCTATCTTCCAGTAGAATTTCTGAAGAGTGGGAACATGTATAACTCTTACTGGCACTCCAAAATAGACATCAAATTAATGACATTATCTATTACCCATCTCACTTACATTTTTCTATTTGCATCTATCTCTTACCACAGTTCCTTATTACTGAGTCACTACCCATAATAATTAGTGGGCATTGTTTTTGAAAAATTGCATAAAAGATCAGTAATTTAACATTAAATGTCATTGTCTCTAAAGAAAAATTGTGCCAACTCTTAACCAGAGATTTAAATTTTTTTGTTAGTTGTGCTTTTACCCTTGTCTTTAGGTGTAAATAATTCTGTCATATTTTTTCCTGTAATAGGAAGATTTCAACATAACAGTCAATTGAGTGGATATCAGAAGCCATGTGATTTATGTACTCTGGGGGCCCAAGATATATGCTAATATAAATCAAAACCTGGTCTGTTGGCACCAAAGAGCAAGGAGAAGATTATTCAAGGACTAGGCTGTATTTGCATTCGAGTGCTCCCACTTAGTAGCCATGTGTTCCAAGACAAATTACTTTCAGCTTCACTGTTCACATTTATAATAATACCTGCTTATTCGAGTTGTCATGAGAATTGCATAAGACAATGTGTATAAAGTGCCTGGCATCTACCATATGCTTAATAAATGGGAGCTGGTAGTACTGTTATTAACATCTCTATTATTAAACTCCCTACAAGGATGAGAAGGAGTGTTCTCTTGCCTTTTCACTTAGCTTACTTAATACTGTACCATCTACTCCCTACTGTGCAAATAAGCTGGTATTTTAACGTAGGAATTTGCACTAAAATTAAACCGGTAATTTTCTTGAAACACCTTTCAGGTTCATTTTTGCAGGGAGCAGAGAAATCCATATCCATGGTTCAAGGTGGAAGGAGTGAATATGCAGCAGCTTTGGCATGGGAGAAAGGAAACTCTAATCTGGAGGAGAAGGCATTTTCTGAGTGGTTAGAATCAGTGAAGGAAAATCCTGCTGTGATTGACTTTGAAGTAAGTGTAAAAATTATTCCAGGTAAGAGAGCTAAAGTAGTTCTCTAGCAGCCTAAATTGCACATCACACAATTGCTTTTCCATTTTATTCTCAGACAATAAAACAAATGTCTTTCTTTAATATTCATGTATAATATACCTTTTTAAATGCTAAATTGCATGTCTGTTGCTTTTACTATTAAAACAAGCATTCTATAATACCGTATTTAGAATTCTTAGCATGCATCAACTGCTAAGAAAGGGAGTTTAGTGAATAAAGATGCTCAGACTTTCTTTGGATAGTACTCTTCATCTCCCCATGTAGACAATACATCTGGTTTCTCTCTCTCTCTCTCTCTCTCTCTCTCTCTCTCTCTCTCTCTCTCTCTCTCTCTGTGTGTGTGTGTGTGTGTGTGTGTGTGTGTGTGTGTGTGTATGTTACAGCTCTTTATCTGATGAGCCTGCCTAAATCTTCATTGTAGCTCTGTGTGACAAATGGGATTTTAGATCCATTTGACTTCCTGTTTCTATCGCCATTGATTCAATTTACCAGTTTTGTATTTATTGTAATCACATAAAAAAGGCAATTATTATTTATAGAGTACTTTGCCCACATATCAATCATATGCCATTTAAAACCAGTTTTGCCTAAAACGTTACCATATTTTGCAGAAGGCCTCCAAAAAAACTATTACGTTCACTTCATTTAAATGAAGATAAAGGAGTTCAATCATTCTGAAAATTGAATCATTTACATGCAGTGTGAGGACATATTGAGCTCTACAGGTTATGACAGAAAAATGGAACCCAGCTGCCTTTCTGGGCACTTGTGAGTCATATATTACACTAGATGGTCATTTCTTTGAAGTTTTAAAATGTTAATAAAGTGAGCCCTGATTTATCATTAGCTTTGTTATTTGTTGCTATAATTATCTCATTCATTCTACCATCAATTTAATGTTCCTATTTTATCCCATTCCATGTTTTCCATCTTACACCAAGAGCCAATACCCTGAAAAAAAGTAAAGAAAATAGAAAGCCTCCCCTCATTCTCTCTAGATTTCCTGCTTGAATCAAATTTAATAAGCTTTCAGCAGAGCATTAATAAGCTCCCTAACTTTTGGTCACTTATCTTGGTACTTTGATGCATGGCTTTTATGCTTAATAAATAACATGACGTAAATCCAAATAAGAACAACTCACATGCAGCTTCCTTCACAGTAGAAATGCAGGAAAGGTAAGTTTCTGTTGCATCACACCTGCCGTAAGGTAGAGGGCTTTTCTCTACTGGTTCAACAGGCAGCTGTACTATATTCTAAAAGAATTCTTTTGAAGTATGGGATTTTTCCAACCCTTACTTCTTATTCCATGAGAATGGGGCAGTGATCACAACATATTGCCAAAGGGGATGTGACTGGACCTCCTCTCTATCATCTGCTTTTAGCTTGCTCCCATTGTGGACTTGGTAAGAAATATCCCCTGTGCAGTGACAAGACGGAACAACCTCAGGAAAGCTCTTCGAGAATATGCAGCCAAGTTTGACCCTTGCCAATGTGCTCTATGCCCCAATAATGGCCGCCCCATGCTCTCAGGGACAGAATGTCTGTGTGTGTGCCAGAGCGGTACTTATGGTGCGAACTGTGAGAGACGATCTCCGGATTATAAATCCAGTAAGTATCAGGGATCTGTTAGGAGGTAATTCTCTTTTCCCCTTGAAAAAATATTCTAAGTTGGTCAATTAAAACAAAACAAAACTTCTGTTAACCACGTCCACCTTGTGCAGACTCACAAAGAAAATAAGTCTGAAAAAAGTGTGTTTCATCTGTAATCTTCTAGCTATATGACTTTAGGAAATTTACCTAACTTTCCTACACCTCAACCTGTTCATCCATAAAATAGAGATAATACTAGTATCTACTCAAAGATTACACACACACACACACACACCCCAAGAATACACAGCAAAATTTTGTAACATAAAGTAAATAAAATATATGATATTTGATGTATAAAATAAAATATATAATACTGTCATTATAAACCTCTTTGTATTATAATGTAGAATGAGAATGGCTTGGTAATAAAAAATAAATTGAACCACAGCCAAAGTTTTCATATCGTACTGAGTAATGTGCACAGTTACCTCAAATCCTTTTTATAAAGGAGATGAGGCATGGAAGTGAGAATATAGTCTGGTACTTTTTAAAACATAATTTATGTTATATTCAAGAGATGTTCATATTTATACATATATGTGTGCATATATGTATGTATGTATGTATATATATATATGCATGCACATATGTTTGATGACAGTTGAAAATAATTCATAAGTTGCCATTTTATTTAAGCTTGTGGGACCAAGAAAGGGAAATCAGGCTATGTATCAGGCTCCTTCCACAGGTAACTTCCTTTAATTCTCATAATAACCCTATAATATTCCACAAAGGAGGTCACACAGCTAAAAAGTGAGGAAACCAGGTTCTCCTGATCCAGCTGCAAATTCATCTGCACCACAATCCACAGGAGTGAGTCCTTCTCTTTTCAGCTGCAGTAGATGGAAACTGGGGTTGCTGGTCTTCCTGGAGCTCATGTGATGCAACTTACAAAAGAGTAAGAACTCGAGTGTGTGATAACCCTGTCCCGCAACAAGGAGGGAAACCCTGTGATGGAGAGAAGCAACAAGAGGAAGACTGTACATTTTCAATCATGGAAAGCAAGTAAGGACAAATGAGGAGAAATAATGGGTCATTTCCTCCACTAACATAGAAACTTCAGATACTTATTATCCTACTGCTAAGTAAAGAAATCATTAGAATTTTACCTATGTCAACACAGCAAATGAGTAAGGCACTGGATCTGCTCTATACCTTTCTCTGTATGTAATGTTTTCTCTCTGTTTAATATATATGCGGCCAGGCATGGTGGCTCAGCCTGTAATCCCAGTACTTTGGGAGGCCAACGTGAGTGGATTGCCTGAGCCTGTGGGTTCAAGACCAGCCCAGGCAACTTGGCAAGACCTCATCTCTACAATAAATCAAAAATTAGCTGGGTGCAGTAGCATGCACCTGTGATTCTGGCTACTTGGAAAGCTGAGGTGGAAGGATCGCCAGAGCCCAGCAGGTCGACACTGGGGTAGCCGTGAGTGTGCCACTACACTCCAGCATGGGTGGTGGAGTGAGACTTTGACTCAAAAAAACAAAAAAACAAAAGTAAAAACACCACAAATATATATGCATGTAATGTGTATATATGCATACACATCTCATTTGCATAACATGTAAAGATGTATGTGTACACACACACATATACATATACACACATATATTCATTTTTCCTTTTTAGTGGACAACCATGCATCAGTGATGATGAAGAAATGAAAGAGATAGATCTTCCTGAGATAGAAGCAGATTCTGGGTGTCTTCAGCCAGTTCCTCCAGAAAATGGATTTATCTGGGTAAGTATCCTGCCCTTCACTTTTTGGCTTACAGTTAAATTAAAATAATAATAAAAATTAAAAGTATAGATTTTCCTTTAATTGGAATCATTGTTTTCCTATTTGAATAATATCTTGTTGACTTAAAAAATAAAAGATAATATTTAAAAATGTGTTGCCACCCTTCCATCTTGAATTCCCTGGAGGCATCTTCATACCTAATTGTCAGACCAAAGGATAGCAGGTTGCTCGTGCTCCTTGGAAAGAGAATGAAACTTCAGCATAATATAGGAATGGATGACTTGTAAGAATCTCACAAATAAGGTTTGGTTATTTATTTCTGAGACTGAGCAAACTGATGCCCTCATCTAAGGTAGGTTATTAGAAAGATATACTGGACTTGGCTATAATCATAGGAGATGCTTGGTCTGAATTATCTTATCAAGTTAGAAACCTGCAGAATTTTTGAGCAGTCAACACAATTTTAATGTACCTTCAAATTTTATCTTTTTCTATTAAGCCACAATATGTTTCTATGATTTTTCAAAAAACTGAATACGTTATGTCAGATAGATCTGTGACTTTAGATCTACATTTTTCAGGAGATATATTTAAAATTGATCACAGAAAGCCTGCTCTGTATTTTATTTTTACATGTTTTTAAACTCAATAATCTTTAAATTAATCTTTTTCCAACTATATCATATTTACAATCAAAGATCAACTAACACTCAATTTGTCAGGGTCAGCAAATAAATGTTCATGGAGCATAGTCTAGGCTAATACATTTTCCGTGTTCACTTGTCTTCTTCCCATGTAGAAGGTACCATACTTAAAGGTTTAGAGAGAGGAAATATTTTGGAAGAAGGTAACTTGAATTAGCCTTTACTTTAGAACAGAGGCTCTCAAACTCAACTTTGCACCTGAGGACTTCTTAAAACACAGCTCTCTGGGTCCCACTTCCGGAGTCTCTGATTCAATAGGTCTTGGGTGAAGCCCAGAAATGTGCTTATTGGACAAATTCCCAGGTAATACTGATGTTGCTGGTTCAGAGGCCACATTGGGAACCAATCATTTAGAAGAGGAATCAGCAAACTATGGCCCAAAGGTGAAATCCAACCGGCCACTTAAAAAAAAAAAAACATTTTATTGGAACACAGCCACATTCATTCGTTTGCGTGTTGTCTTTGGCTACTTTTCTACAGCAATGGCAGAAGTAATTGTGACAGACACTGTACTGCCTACAACTGATTATCTTGGCTCTTTATAGAAAAAGCTTGCTAGTCTCCACCCTAGAACAATATCCTCAAGATTACATATTGTCAGATTTAGATACCTAAATAACTTTTCATCTATTTATGCCAGCTGCATACAAAAATCATTAATATTATTGACAATCCCATTTTAAAAACACAAAGAAACTTTAAGCTATGAATCATCATTCTTCTAACTTCCCTTATAAAGTTAGATTATGTTTCCATTTTTATAGGTAAATTCACTCTTTGTTTTAATTTTCTCTTTATTAAAGTCCTGATCTTTGTCTGTTACTAGTTGTTACTCAAAAGTAGCACAATTTTAATTGTTTTCTAATAAGCACTTTCTGGAATTTCTAGTAGCAAAATGTCCCTTATATAGATTCAAACAGAAGCAGATATGCCTAATTCCAGGCCAGAGGCAATGATGTTATTGCACATAGGGGTATTTGTTCAATGACCAAGACACAGTCCCACTCTGTAGGCAAATGGTGGGAACTCTTGGCACCATTTAGTCAGCCTAGCCATTGTGTTGTTCAGTTGGCAACTGAGCCTTCATATCCTTCAAAGTTCCCAACTCCAGTTCACAGAAAATAACTTCCTGGTCAATTCTTGGGACTCCTTTCTCTTAGTAAAGGAACGTTGTATTGCATTACTATCTCCTTAAAAAGGATAGTGGGCCGGGAGCAGTGGCTCAGTCTATAATCCCAGCACTTTGGAAGGTCGAGGCGAGAGGGTTGCCTGAGCCTGAGGGTTCAAGACCAGCCTGGGCAACTTGGTGAGATCTCATCTCTACAATAAATCAAGAAAAATTAGCCAAGCCTAGTGGTATGCGTCTGTAGTTCCATCTACTTGGAAGGCAGAGGTGGAAGGATCGCCAAAGCCCAGCAGGTCAAGGCTGTGGTGGCCATGAGCGTGCCACTGCATTCCAGCCTGGGCAACAAGAGTGAGACTACAACTCAAAAAAAAAAAAAAAAAGGATAGTGTTTAGCATTGTTTCAACAAAGAGTTATTAAGGCCTGTGTAAAGATTTGTGAAGCAAAGATCTTGTTGTGGAGTTCTCACTCAAAGGTCAGGACAGGGCTGATAAATGTGATAAACACTATAAAAATAGAGCTTTATATGAGTTGCCTCTGGAACTGAAAGGATGGTGCACCTTCTGAAGCTGAAGAAATAAAAGGAGTTTTTCAAAGAGGACATTCCATTTGAGCTGGGTATTTCTTAAAAAAAGGAAGAGAAGGTGCAGAGGATACAGAAAACAGCCTAGCGAAGACATAGAGGCTTTAAAGATAATACTATGTTCAAAGAATGACTCAAAGAATGGGTTTTATTTTGCTAGAACACAAGTATTATGGGAGGGAATGGCAGGAGGTGAGAGTGTTAAAGTAGGTTAAAGCTAATATTTCAAACTAGAAAGTATAAGACACGCTTTATTTTGAAACTTGTAGTGAGTTCCCCACAAAACCGCAGTTATACAATCCATTAATTGGGAAAATATATAATGGCCAAAGGATCCCTAGAAACTGAGTAACATTTTTAAATGACTCATAGTCTGTCACAGTAGAAGCTGCATATGCTTGCTTTATATGTAAGAAACATTATGTATGCAGTTTATATATGTACATGGTGAGTATATATTTTTTTCTATTCTAGCATTAGTAGACCATCCCGTATATAGTGGAGAGCAAATTTTTAAGTAAGCAAGAAAAATATTCTAATCAATTTAGATAAAAAGATAAAAGATAAGATAGATTAGAAAAAACAGCCAGTTAGAAAATTGTCCTGGTAAGAGATAATAAATACCATGAACAAAGACAGTGATGATGACAAAGGAAAGGAGAGAACTTCGAGAGATATTTCAAAGTAGAAATTAAGAGAATTCTGTGACTGAGTAGATACAGAAGAGAAGGAACAAAAAGAATTCAGATGACCCCAAAGTGTTTAGAGAGTATTGCTGATAGCATTAGTAATTAGTTTCTGATTTAATTCTAGAATGAAAAGAAACTGTACTCGGTTGGGGAAGAAGTTGAAATTTCGTGCCTTACTGGATTTGAAGCTGTTGGATACCAGTACTTGAGATGCTTACCTGACGGGACCTGGAGACAAGGGGATGTGGAATGCCAACGTGAGAATGGGGCAAATATTTTGTGGACTACTTTACAGAATAAATGTACTCAATATAAACACAGTAAAAAAAATCACACCCTTAGATCAGTACATTTTACTATTTTTTAGGACTCTAGTGAAAAGATTTTGTGAAGCAAAAATAGAGCTTATTTGCTAAAATTAGATTTCCAAATAGCTCCATATTTCAGTGCTCCTGCTCTTGCATATTAGCCTCGCACACTTAGGACTGCGAAGCACGCACTTCAGTAGAAATCCAGGAAGTCTGCAAGCTGTCTCTAACCACAGACATCTGCCTTGCCTGATGCACAAATTGATGCAAATTGTTGAGTCCCAAGAAGATGATATTTACACTCTTTATGTATCAGAGTTGGGATTTTTGTATGAGATGCAGTTTTCTCCAAGGCACCATTCCTTGGAGCACGTTCACATCCTTTGCTGAGAAAGAGTGAATGAGCATGCAATCTCTGCACTTACTCGTTCTAGAATAAAGTTTAAAAAAAAGATGAGACTCAAACAAGGCTCAAATGGGGACTTCAATAATTTATTTAAAAGCAGAGTTAGGCCAGGTGCAGTGGCTCAAGACTGTAATCCCAGCACTTTGGGAGGCCAAGGTGAGGGGACTGCCTGAGTCCAAGGGTTGAACAGCCTGGACAACTTGGCAAGACCTCTTCTCTAAAATAAATCAAACAATTAGCCTGGTGGGGTAGAGCGTGCCTGAAGTTCCGGCTACTTGGAAGGTGGAGGTGGAAGTTTCGCTGGAGCCCAGCAGGTCGACGCTGGGGTGGCCATGAGCATGCCACTGCACTCCAGCCTGGGCGACAGAGTGAGACTTGAACTCAGAAAAAAAAAAAGAAAAAACAGAGTTGGCCAATCGCAGTGGCTCAAACCTGTAATCCCTGTACTTTGGAAGTCCGAGGCGAGAGGATTGCTTGAGCCCCCCGTGTTCAAGACCAATCTGGGCAACATGGTGAGACCACGCCCCTACAATCAGTTTTAAAAATTAGCCTGGCCTGGTAGTGCGTGCCTGTAGTTCAGGCTTCTTGGAAAGCCGAGGTGGAAAGATAGGCGACTAGCAGGTCGAGGCTGCGGTGGCCGCGCGCATGCCACTGCACTCCAGCCTGGCCGATGGAGTGAGACTCCAACTGAAAAAAAAAAGAAAAAGAAAAAGCAGAGTTGAGATCAGTGTCAATGAGAATGTCCTGCCTCTGCATCCTTCACAATGCGGTAGCTTACATTTGGGGAAACCCACTAGGGAGAAGAGAAAAAAAAAAATTTCTTGAAAGGAAAAGGTCCCAATGAAGTAATTAAAGTTGTATGTTCCTGAAGCCAGTTCTTTAGCAAGGCAACCTCAGATGTTGTAACTAAAGGGAGTTTTTCATCGGAGGAACATCTGAGGGGAAACCTGGTATTCTTAACCTTCAGGTTTTCAGATTGAATGGAGGAACCAACACTGAACAAATGCTGCAGTCAAACTCACCCAGAATAACCTCTTGGGTTGCATAAAATCTGCCCACATTTGGTGAACATTCTGCTCCACTAAATACATCTGAAATGTTGCTCTTCCTGCAGGGACAGAGTGCCTCAAGCCAGTCGTGCAGGAAGTCCTGACGATCACACCATTTCAGAGATTATATAAAATAGATGAAACAATTGAGCTAACCTGCCCCAAAGGCTTTGTTGTTTCTGGGCCATCAATGTACACATGCAGGGGGAATTCCTGGACACCGCCCATTTCAAATTCACTCACATGTGAAAAAGGTGAGTAGCAGCTCAGAATTCTGGGGTCTGAAAATATGGTGCACTCCAAGATTGGTAGAATACCATCTAGAGCAGTACTATATCTTAAGCACAGAGGCAGAGAGGTTTTAATTATGCATATGGTTAAACCCATCTGGGTAAAACAGGATCTATGCAACAGTTCTACTAATTCTCTAAGCTCTTTGCCATCCTGAACCTGTATTCTCTTTTGGGCTTTTTATAATGTGTGAGGGGAAAATGGGGGAAGTTAACCTTTTAAATAACCTTAAATTAGAAAAAAAAAAAAAACTACTGATAAAGAGATCTCACGGAAATTGGTAAGAACTTCAGGTTAATGTTGTATCTTGGTTTCACTGGATTCCTCATCATAATAATAAATTATAAGCCATGTAAATGTCAGAGGAATTAATGCATTTGGAAACCATAGACTTCAGAAAGTTAAGAGCTTCTGGATATCCTCTTCATAAAAGCACATGTGTACGCCCCCACACACACACATGCACATGCACAACTGTGCCTTTGGATAAGAAATTGAAATTATTATTCACACAGAGAAATAGGAAATATCCTACATCTAGATAAGGGAAATAAAATATATCTCATATACTTTCTCTCCAATGATATTGATAAAAAGAACAATGAGAGGTATCACAGAAAGAGAAAGACAATGATCAGTAAAACTGAACAACTGTGAGGTAAAGAGACTCAGGCTGTCATTTATCCAAGGATACACTCAACTCTTTCAATGTGAAAAAGTTTTGCTTTCTGAAGATGTGAGATGCTGCACAGCTCCACAGTTACGTTCCTTCTTCTAAGAACTCCAAGCCTTCAATAGTCCTTCAGAGGCTCCTCTTGCCCACAGCACTTTGCAGACTGTAGAGAGTTCTTGTTTCCAGGTTGCTTCTGTGCTAGGTGGTGTGGGCTACTGAGTCCCAGTGCTAGCTTCAACCTGATGTTTCTGAGAGGAACATTAACAATTTCAAATCAGTAGCCACAGAGGGATGCTTTGTATGTGACTTGAAAGCTGATTCTTGGGCAATCCCCTTGGGGCCCCTTCCATTATGGGAGCTTTTCTGTCCTCTCAATAAATCCTGCTTTCTCAAAGAAAAAAAAAGAAAACTGATTCTCTTTGGACACATTGCGTAACATGCCACCCCTCCCTGGCTTAAGTGTGGATTTATTTACAAAGGGTAAAGAGGCATAGCTAAAAAATTGTAATCCCACATCAGTGTAAATCTTAGCAGCTGAAGCCTTACCAGAGATACAGCTTTCTAAGTTTGTGAAGGTTCTTGGCCAAGTTTCACAAGATAGAATGAGGGTCCTAACAGAATAAATAGCAGTGAAGAAGAAAACTTAAAAATTTTTTATATCTTTGTTTTTGTCTCAGCCCCATATGCCTTTTTTCCCTTATCAGATCTTCTGCTTAATAGACGTAGAGAGACCATGAGCTGAATCTCTGGTTCTGCCATGTAATTTGTGAGAATATTTAGACATAGCTGCCTATTTTTCCCCTTGATGATTAACATGCTCACAGAGGCCATTTTGGTTCTGTGCATACCTGAGTAATCAGATACAAATTAAGGAGATTTGTTTCATCCAACAGGCTCAGGAGTGCGACTACAGGTTCTGGTTCTCGGGATAGGTCTCAGCATAGGCAAAAAAAGAAGAAGAAGAAGAAAAAGAAGGTTTATCTTCCATGTAATATATGCTGAGCGTTAGTCCCTCTGTTTTCATTCCCCTCCCTCACATACATACTATTCAATTCCTCATCTTAGCTCAAGCATCATTTCTTTTTATTTCCTTACTTTTCCCATTTGAGATCTTTATAGTATGTAGTTTCCTGAAACCATGATCCCTTTCTTCAAAATACCAGTCTCAGCCCATAAATATAAATCCATTATTTGGTAAATGTCTGTTTCTTCATTATCCTTTAGATTCAAGAAAAAGGGACCACTGCTGTTTTCTTTTTTCCCTTTCTTCCTTCCTTTCTTTTTTCCTCTCTTCTCATTTTTTTCTCTCCTCTTCTCCTCTCCTTTGTTTCTTCCATACTTTCTTACTTTGTTTTATTGCACATGAATATCCTAGTGCCTATTACACCATGCAGGGATAAAAATTACTGCATTTAGGATTTGCATTTTTCCATTGATTCTTCTTGTAAGAAACCTAACTTTTAAGTTTTAAGCAGGGTTTTAAGCAGAGTGGTGTGATAAAATCAGATCTGGATTTTAGAAAAGAAATTATTTATTGATTCTGTGCAGAGAATGGATTTGGAGAGACGTGGTGGTCAAGAGGGCTCTGGGTAAACAATCTATGAGGCTATCGTAGTAGTTCATGTGAGAAAGGATGGTGGTTGGGATCAAGTTGGAAATGAAGAGAAGTGAGTAGACTTGAGACATATATAGCAGGTAAAACAAAGGTGTTAAACCCTCCAAAAAATAACCCCATATTGCTAAATCTAATGGGCATTATTTTTTCCTCATCTTCTTTTACCTTTCAGTAGCCTTCAACAGTGTTGATCTCCTGCATATATGTTCTTTCCTTAGCTTCATATTCTTGTTTAGCTTCTACTTCTCTGGATGTTGCCTTCCATTTTTGGCAGGCTCCTGCCTGTGCTTGGACATTAAATGTTGGAGTTCCTCAAGGCTCAGATCTGTCACCTAACCCACACTGCATTCTCCTACCGGAGAATCTCACCCACACCTATAACTTCAATGTTTCCCCATAGACTAATGATAAAGGTATATCTTTAATGCAGACTTCTCCACTGAGCTTTAGACATGAATATTCCAATTCTTCTATATCTTCTTTTTTGTTGTTGTGCTTAGAGGAACTGTTGATTCATCACCCTTCTCTTCCTAAACCTGAGCACTTTCCAATATTTTCTCTTGCAGGTAAGGCACCAATGTCCATTCTCTTTGCAAGTCAGAAACCTAAGAATCACACTTGACAGTTCTCACAATTTACCCACAACATGTAATGTCATCTATTTTACCTGCTGTCTGTGTCTCAAGTTTGACCACTTCTCTCCACTTTCACATCTGGGACTTTGACCCAAATTACTATCCTTTTTCACCTGAACTACCACAAGAACCTAAGAGCCTGTCTATCCAGAACCCTCTTATCCACCATGCCTCTACAAGTCCATTATCTGCACAAAAGCCAGAATTGATTTCTTTTCCAAAATCCAGACCTGATTTTGACATACTACTCTCCGCTTTTTAAAAAAGTCCCATAAAAGACTTTTCCATTGCTTTTAAAATGAAGACCCTTCAAAGGCCTATTATTCCTTGTTCTTGCAGCCTTCCACACACCTGCCTCTGTTCCATGCTCCTGGTTCTTTGCACTTCAACTACACTCAGTTCCCAGAAAGTCACATACTGCCTCCCTTTGAATACTTTCAGACTTGACATTTCCTCTGTGTTGAACAGTCTCCCTCTTCTTTCCCATTTTGTCATTCTTAATTTAGCTATATCAAATTTTGATTATATGCTTTCTCTTTAATAGCACCAATAACAGCAGCAATTCTATATGTATATTAGTGTGCTTGTTTGATGTGGAGCACAGACTTTGGGTCAGACTTTGTTCAATACAGTATCCCCAGAAACTAACAAAGTGCTAAGAACACCATAAATGCTCAATAAATATTTGAAAAACAAATGAAGAAAGGTTTCTACAGTTCCATTTTATTTGGTTCTCTGAAGAACCAAATCAATTTTAAGTTAGAAAAATGATAGACTTTTCAGATGGAATATTACATGGCAATATCATTGGAGGAGCCAAAATGAATGCTCTAACTCTGTAAAATAAATAATAACTCTTTACCAGTGCCTTTTCACTGAATTCAGGCTTATAATTTGGAATTCATGCTATTCACTATTTTTTTCTCCTTTTTCCCCCCAGATGTTCTGACAAAATTAAAAGGCCACTGTCAGCCAGGACAAAAACAATCAGGATCTGAATGCATTTGTATGTCTCCAGAAGAAGACTGCAGGTAAGAAATACTCTATGGACTGTGTGTGGAAATTGGGAAAATCAGTCTAGTGTAACCAGCTTGATGAAAGAGCTGAGCTTCTTGAAGCACAAACATGAAATATATGAATTTTTCACATAACTGATACTTCTGTGCTCTGCTGAATTCTTTCTTCCCCACTGGGTAGCAAGTTTCTTAACTATCTCTCAGCCCAGTTCCCTAAGTTTATATAGCTTTTGTTTATTAAAACAATCTCGTTTCGGTTATAAAGACTGAATTCTGTGCATTTATAAACTTCAAACTTAATTATATCAAAGCCTTCCTTTCTCTAAGTAGAGGGAAAAGTTGTAACTAAGAACACGGAGTAATGGAAGTGTGAGAATGGACCACGCACGCATACACACACACACACACACACACACACACTTTTGCCACTTGATTCTTTCATGCTGGGGCAGAAAGCATGAAGAACAAAAATTATATATCCTCATGTGACTGCCATGACTAAATGACTATCTCCTTTTAGTTGATATAGTTGCAACCCAGTAGTATCAAGGTTGCTTACTGATTTAAGGGCTAGTTTTGACCAAATTTAAAAGCCAATCCAAGATAAGATTCACTTAAAGTTTTGTGTGTCACAAAATCAATGCAGAAGGAACCAGTCTAGAGCTAGCATGGTGAATCTCTCGTTTCAAATAGGGCTGGGAGATGTCTTCCCGCTCTCTACTCTGTCATCCTTAAAGTTATTTTATGGTCCAAGATTGCTCTTCTGGAGAAGAAAGGAAGAAAGACCAAAAAAGAGACACATTCTATCACTTTAAGATTTCCTGGAAGGCCCACCACTTATTTATTTCTCATTAACTTTCTCTCATTTATACAACCATGTGTACCTGCAAGCAGAGTGGCAAAATGCAGGGTTTTTTTTAACTGGATGAGTAGTCATTCTAAATGAAGATAGATTAAATTACTAAAGAGGTGAAAGAATAAATGGAGTAGGAAGCCATCAGTCTCTGCTGTTGTAATGTTCAATTTTAGCACTGATTACCTCTGATGTTCCTCTGTGCAGTGTGTAAACAAATGCTTGTAGGGACACATTTACATATTATTATTTTGAAAAACCCCCCAGAGTCTTTCTCCATATAATTCCACTGACATAATTCATCTGAACGGTGGCTTTATCTACTCTTCTCAGTATTCCCCACAAGTGTTCCACCAAGTAACTCCTTGCTGCTGAAGCACCCACACCCAACAAGTGGCCTTCTGGATCCTACTTACAACATCCACATTGTTCACTTAACCCAGAGGAAGCTTCTTTTTCTATCTGTGCAATACCAAATCAAAAGGATACTGTCCCCTGAAATTCCTACTTCAGCCCTTCCATATCTCTCCAACCTCTTTCCATATGCCTCAGTTTTCTTTTATATAGTATTGAAGGTGTTTGTGGGAGAGGCTAGTCCCATAGCTTTAAGTTCTATAAACTTAGAAAGTTGCATTTGTTCTTGCCAGGCACGGTGGCTCATGCCTGTAACCCAACACTTTGGGAAGCCAAATCAAGAGAACTGCTTGAGCCCAGGAGTTCAAGATCAGCCTAGGCAATATAGTGAGACCTTGTCTCTACCAAAAAAAAAAATCAGAAAAGTTACCTGGGTGTGATGGTGTGCACCTGTAGTCCCAGCTACTTAGGAGGTTAAGGTGGGAGGATCTCCTGAGCTCAGGAGTCCCAGGCTGTGATGAGCTATGATTGTGCCACTGCACACTCCAGCCTGGATAATAAAGTGAGACACAGCTCAAAAAAAAAAAAGAAGAAGAAGAAGAAGGAAGTAGTTTTTGTGCTCAGCTGCAGGCTCCAGTTCCTGAAAACAATCTTACACACTGCTGCACTGGTTGTTAACCTTAACGTTAATAACAGAGAAGAAACTCAAATTTGAGATACTCAAGATCTTGTCTTCTCAGCAAGAGGACAAGACCAGCTGTTACCTCTTGGTAGCAGGACCCATCCATCAACTCAGAGAGATTCAGTGCATTACCCAGAGAATGTTAGAAAGTTCATGTTCCCAGTCACTATATAAACACACTTGAAAAGCTATACAGTGAAACAAGACTCTTTATGACATGTCCTTGGTCAGCGTTGCAATTAATGAGCGTTTTGGAGTTCAGACAAGGTACAGACTAACATAGGCTAGGCTGATCAAGTGAGCTTCTGAGTATAGCCGGGAATTGAGGTGGACACACAGAGGAGAGAGAATACAGCAATGATTGAACGGGGCCTGGATGGCAGCAAAAAGGAATAACCTTATTAGTTTAGCAAACAATCAATACAATAATCAGGTGATGAAGAGGGAATGAGGAGAATGGGAAAATAACTCTAGAAAAGAACATTGATTGGAGTCAGATTGTGAAAGATTTTGATTACCAGAATTTGAGAATTCAGACTTTAATTTGAAGGCAATAGAGAATAATACCAAGATGAAGACAAAATTTTAGAAAGACGAAATCACAGGCAGCATGCAAGATGAAACTGGGGATTGAAAAGAGAGAGACTGGGGAAGAAAAATTAAAAAAAAAAAAACAACAGGAGGAAGAAAACTGGGCAGTGAGTTAACATATTATATTGGCTACATGCCCTCTGTCTTTTCTGGTCTTCAAATGGAAATGTTTGTTTTTCTCTCTGGGGCAGCCATTATTCAGAAGATCTCTGTGTGTTTGATACAAACTCCAACCATTACTTTACTTCATCTGCTTGCAAATTTCTGGCCGAGAAATGTTTAAATAATCAGCAACTACATTTTCTACATACTGGTTCCTGCCAAGATGGTCCACAGTTAGAATGGGGTCTTGAAAGGATGCGACTTTCATCCAATAGCACAAAGAAGGAATCCTGTGGCTATGACACCTGCTACGACTGGGAAAAATGTCCAGGTACGCTCCGGTGGTGACTGCATACTAGAAATATTCACACTCAGTCTTCATCGTGACTAACATATCTTATTTGCATTCATACATCATCTTCTTAAAAAATAACCTTTTTTAATTGAAAATAATGTATTTTCACTGAAAAATATTTCATAAAATTACTTAAATAGAATGAAAAAATATATAATCACCCACAATTAGAAATTACTTTCATAAGTTGAGTATATCTCTCTCCAATCTTTTCTCTGTACTATGTAATCATCACCACCTGAGGCCCCAGTGAGAAGAGCACCTATTCTGTTCTCCTGCTTCAGGCACCCTTCCGCACTCCCAGTTTTAGAGGGCCTTCCAAGTTTCCCTCTGGTGGTTGGAACTGACTGAGGCCAATAGTGCTGTTCAGGTAGGAATGAGCTCTGCATAGATACCAACTGCCAAAGCATCTCCTTTACATTTTTTTTTCTTTTCTTTTTTTTTTTTTTGTTCCTCTTCCAGTGCCTAGAACTAGCCAGGGCTACCAGTGTTATTCAAGCAGGACTCCCTAAGCTCAGACAGGGTCCCACATTGAACCCAGGTAGTTTCTCTTTTTCAACATTTTACTACCTTTTCCCCCACCAAGTATGGGGTCAACCAGTCACCCCAAAGAGCTCTGAGACTTGTGCCTGTGGGGTCATCTCTGGCCCAGAACTAGACCCTCATTCCTGGAGAGCAGCTTGGTGAGCAGATGACTCCCACTGGCCAGCAGTAAATTCTTGCTCAGGATTACATGAGATTACACTGCCAGTTTGGTGCTAACACTCGAATCTGGGGTAACTCTAACTGTTGGTAGACAAACACTCCATGAAAATTTTTGCCCCAGGGCTTCATATACCACAGGGGTGGCCCTGTATATAATACAAATTTTTAAGATATAAAACAGGGTCAGATTCTACATGCAATTCTATATATTGCTGTTTTTTTACTCACTGTTACCATGAAACTGTTTCCATGTCATATATATTACTCGTAATGTTCAATGTCTACAAAAGTCTGTATGAATATTCTGTGATTTATTTAACCAGTCTCTTGTTAGGCTTTTAAATTTTATACCGCATTATAAATGACACTATGATAAATAAATCTATCACAGATAAATCTAAAAATCTAAGATTACTTTCTTAGGATATACCATAGAAGAAGGAATTTCTAAGTAAATATTATTTTGTAACTATAAAGCTTTATTATACATTGTATCAACTCATTTTCCAGAAATGTTTTTACCATATTATATTTCAGTCTAACATATGAAAAAGACCGTTGTCCTATACTCTCACCAAACCTTGGAGTTATCACTCCTTTATATCTCTTCCAATTTAATACTTGAGAAGTGGCATTAGATTTCCATAAGTGTATTGGCTATTAGCATCACATTTGAGAATGGCTTAGAAATGGGAACTTTACAGCAGTACATTCGCTCTATGATGAAGTTTGATCCTGAGATAGTCCAGCTAAACTTCATATATTACACAAAGATGAATTGGAGATTGGAATTTATCAGATATCAAATAGGCAGCAATATTTCCTTTGTGATACTTTTTCAGAAATTATCTTAAATCAGGGCATAAAGTATGCAACAGAACTTGTTGAACTGTTTTTTGTTTTGTTTTGTTTTGTTTTGTTTTGTCTTGTTTTGAGTTGGAGTCTCACTGTGTCACCCAGACTGGAGTGCAGTGGCCGCTCCCGGCCACCGCA